ATATACAACAGAAAACCCAAGTTTAATATTTGTCTTTTTGGAGGGAAATCTTTGCAGGAGTGTGTCTCAAATGATATTCATGATACAATTTAAGTGAAAATTTGCCATCAAATTTTTGGCGAATTTGGGGCTCCCAACATTTTAGAGGGGTTTTAAGTTTAAACAGGGTCAAGTGATCATCATGAATGAAAGGAATCCATTCAAATGCTAAGATAAAGAACCACAAATTATAAACATTTAGACACTTTTATGTATATGACAATTGATAAGTATGTTATTACAGAGTACCAATATATTCTCATTTTTCACTTTCTCTTTTCACCATATCACTTTTTTATTTTTATTTCATGCAAATGCAATCTATAGTTAAAGGTAAAGACCAGTAATGGTCATGCGATTGCATTGTGAAAGAAACGTTGTGGAATCGATCAGAAAAGGTCGATCATCTAGCATCTAGCATCTGCAAGGTTCTGGAATCATCAAAATGATAAGAAATTTGGCTCATTCTTCGTAAAATTACAAGCACTATACACAGAAAGATGTATATGGGACTACCCTATCTCTCTCACCAGACCATGAGAGAAATAAATTTACCAAATATATGAATTAGTAGGCGGTTTCCCGGCAAATTTTTTATCATCATGTATTAGTCAAAACATATTTTTTCACATGATTGGTAATGACAGCTTCCATTTCATTTTTTGAAATTTGGGCGTTGCCAATACTGGTCTTTACCTTTAATAATGAGTCAATGCCAGGAATAACTTGTCAAACGTTCCAAATTTATGGAGTTTTGTCTTTCATCCTAAGATAAAGAACCACTTATAAACAGTTAGACATGTTTATGTACATGACAATGATAAGTATGTTATTACCGAGTGGCAATATATTCTCATTTTTCACTATCACTTTTCCCCCTTTTTATTTTTTTTAAATTTCATGCAGATGCAACCTATTTTATAATGACTTAATGACAGGAATAACTTGTCAATTGTTCCAAATTTATGGAGCATTGTCTTACAAAACTGCATCCAAGATTTGCGATGTAAAGCCGAGCAGGAACAAGATTTTCCTACGATTATTGCTGGAAAATATCTTGAAGGATTAAGATAATTACTCTGCTTAAACATAAAAGTTAATCTACACAATAAAGCAATAGTGAAAGATGGAAACCGTGTAATCTTCATCTCAACAGTTTGGTTAAAATGTTGACTTTAATCACATAATTCGTAAACCAAGAAGACTTAACCAAGAAAGGTAAGCCTTTTCTCCATCTTCTCCTCCTCTTTCTCCTTCTTTATCTTCATCACATGGGCGTAAATCCTTACTTAATACCTATTGTTCAGGGGGGATGATCTATTGATTCATCCCCCTTGAACAATAGGTATTATGTAAGGATTTACGCCCATGCTTCATCATCATCATAATCTTCTTCTTCTTCTCCCTCTTTCTCTCCTCCTCCTCCTCCTTCTCTTCTCTTCTCCTTTCCAAAACCATGAGAAGGTTTCCAATATTTATGTACAGCATTATGTACAAGTTCCCCAAATAAAGGGCGTTTCCATTTACTGTACCACTTCTTTCTGACCTACCTGACACACTTTAATTTGACACACTTTTTTCCTATTCATTTTCTACACAGAGACATTTTCAAGAGCCATGATCTGTGATTGGCTTTTTTGCTAGTAAATATTCATGATAATGCAAATTATTAAGATCGCGCGCAGAGTTCTTATCCTTTGTTTCGGTCTTGGGAAAGTACGGTCAACTTTTCAAAAAGTTCCTGAAAATAACACTGTGAGCGAGAAAATTTGATGATGAGTCAGCTTTGTAATTTCTGAGTTATGCATGTTGATTTGGTAATATTGAAATGTTATGAAACGGACGTATATTGTTCTCAGGACCATGTTTTGAGGAGGAAACGGGGTAGATTATCCCCCTAGCCACGGTTGTGGAGCCGCAGCCGCTCCGCGCCCCGCCGGTCAGCTGATCGACCTGCTGGGGCCTAATCAAACATGATTGTGTCTGCATAGGACTTGTTTGTAGCATCAGAATTAGAAGTTCAGCCGTAGGTCTAGGCCTACATAACCATGTGCAGAAACACTGTACAACTTCTACTAATGTAGGCCTAGACCTAGACCCTAGGCTACGGCTGAACTTCTAATTCTGACGCTACAAACGAGTCCTTTGGCTATGCAGACACATGTTGCATGATTAGGCCCCAGAAGGTCGATCAGCCGACCGGCGGGGCGCGGAGCGGCTGCGGCCTCACAGCCGTGGCTAGCAGTCGTGCAGTAACATAATGGCTGCGATCACCTTCATTGGGGGAAAAAAAATCAACCCTATTACCCCCTCAAAACATGGTCCTGAGAACGAATATACGTCTGTTTCATAACATTTCAATATTACCAAATCAACATGCATACCTCAGAAATTACAAAGCTGACTCGTTATAAAATTTTCTCGCTCAAAGTGTTATAGAAAATGAATAGGAAAAAAGTGTGTTAGGTAAGTCAGAAAGAAGTGGTACAGTAAATGGAAACACCCCCAAATAAATGACCTCTATAATACACAAACATGACTGCTACCTGGCTAACATCGAAACATTCTTCTGATTCTAATCTTCCTGTATTCCTTGCAGTCGAGGCCAAAGCCATTGTCCCTGGGAAGCAGGTACAAGGGAATCGACTTGAACGTTTGCCAAGAAACTTCCCCCCAAACCAGACTGACTTATGCAAGATAAACAGATGTCAAAAGAATTATGAAGGTGGTTTCAAGTATGGGAATTATGAAACCGGATTCTGCTTTACTGTAACCTAGCATGCAGTGTCTGACTTTGCACTTAAGAATAACCTTGACATTGAACAAAACATAATGAACACAAGGTACTGTCATTAGTAGTAATATGATTTTAATATGATGAGTACATGTATTTTAACAAAGAAATAAACTTTTACACACAAAAACATGTAATATAAACAGTGAGACAAATATATTTCATTTCGTGTACATTTACATGAATATAGTATCAACACGTTGCAGTTCCTAAATCTAAGCATGGAAAAACATCATAAAGTGTTGATTCTGAAGGTGCACATTTTTGTCATATATTTGCAGAACTTTTTTCCGGATGGAAATGGTGAAATTGGTGAAAATGGAAGGAGTTAAATTTCGACAGGATTCTCCCTAGATCGATTTCGAATGAAGGGCAAATATATCAGTTATTAAAATCTAAACAAACATCATCTTCCTGGTTTTGGATCTAAATAATGAGTATAATACTAATAACCGGAATTTCAGTGCATTCAACTCTTCTAGTCAAAATAAAAAGCAGAATCAGCTTTAAACCGTAGAAAATCACACTAAAGGGACCCGTTTCACAAAGCCTTTTTTTAATGAAAAATGACAAAAATCAGCGACAAATTTGCTGATAACCAATCAGAAGCAAAGATTTTAGTAGCTTATATAAACAAAATATGCTTTAAACCGTACACAATCACACTACAGGGACCCGTTTCACCAAAGATTCACAAAGACTTTTTTCAATGACAAATGATAAAAATCAGTGACAAATTTGCTGATAACCAATTAGAAGCAAAGATTTTAGTAGCTTATAACAAAAGCTGTTGTTTGTCCCTGATGACAAGTTTTGTGAAACAGGTCCCTGGTCTCAGACTGACATCACTATGATTTTGAGTCGTTATATAGCTTTCCTTCCTTCCAGGAAACATGAAATCCATTAAAAACATTGATTTTATCGATCATATGACTATTCAGATTATGATTTTACATGTTTTAATGTTTGTATCAAATGTTACTGCAAATTCTTCCAGAATCTGATCATAGTCAAATTGGGTTTGGTTTTACATATCTCCTGCTCTCAACGAGCCTATCACTACAGGTACATATGCATGTGTATGATATGGTGGGGCGGGGGCGGGTGTCTCCGGACGCCTAACAAGAACAAAGCCTTCTATTTTGCCTATGGATTGAAAGAAAAATATGCAATACATAGCAATAACCAAAACAAAAAACTTATCCTTTACTCCTTTATAACAAAGTCCAACTCAACAGCTCATTTATATATGTTATTACCAAAGAAAAAAAATATGTCAGTCAGTCACTCAATAGTGTCTGACAGTGAAGTCTAGAAGGTAAACGGGTTTCCTTGCATAATTTGAATACTAGGACACTGCTAATGTTTAAATTTCACAGATAGAACATACATGACATATTCATGATTCCTGCAAAGTTCTACATAATTTTATGTTGGCTGCAAAAGGGACATAGTATCTTTAAATGTAAACTTTGAAATAAACTGTCTAAACACTGAACAACCAACCTGTCCCGGACACATGGGCATATGACGAGTGAGTATAAAGCATTACAACAGGTGATTATGACCCAGGGGAGTTGATCCAGCGACTTGCTCATTAGAATATTGTTTATATGTGACTGGAGCAAACAGTTGAAGGATAAACTGCTGTTAATCTCATAATTTTAGAGAAGAAACAAATTTTCAAACGCTAGGATTGAAAACTGTTATGAAATTAAATTCACACATTACTTGGCTTCTACATCTGTTGCCAGGGCGGATCTGGGATTTCTTAGGGGGGGGGGGCCCAAATTTGAAATTCAGTATGCTGATATTTAAATCGCGCCGTCCGATTTTTCCCCAGGGGGGGGGGGGGAGTTCGGGGCCCCCGAGCCCCCCCCCCCCCCCCCTGGATCCGCCACTGTCTGTTGCATACAAGTGTAGGTAACATGTACTTTATGGCTACAATTCGTTCACATATGCTGAGCTTTTTACTTTTTATTTGTACAAGAAAGTAAAGTGCTGAACGCAGTAAGCACAGTTTATTTGGCATATAATATGTGAACAAGCCTTAATACACATTGAAATATTTTCCTCTCTAATTCCCCAAGGGTGCTTAATTCAAAATTTCCCCTTCATATTTACACAGTGTAAATATTTTTGGTAAAAAGCACAAGATTTCTTCAGAAAATAAACTTCATCATTCTGTTTCAAATCAAATATCGGTTAGACTCCTGCCCCTTCGAAATAACCTCTGGATGAACTTAGGTTTTAAGCTTTAGCCCCATGGACCTTACTGTTTACATTTAGACAAGTTTGAACCAAGTTGGCAAAATAGGGCATTTTCTTGAACTTTTAAAGGATTATTTCTCTAAACAAATGGCCAACCTTGATAATAATGATAAATTATTAAGACAGATTAATTACACAAGCAATAAAAAAAAATCCCCATTAGTTTTCACTCCAGAGCGATGTCCAGTTTTAGAACTTCTTGACCTCACTAGGTGATCCAAAAGGTCAATTTTCTAGGTCAAAGTAAAGGTCAGCACTCTCAGGAGGTCACTGAACGCTTTAGTGCTCAGAGTATTTTAAAAATAATGGCAAACTTGATCACCTGGGTAATTACCCTTTACAGATGTAATAAATTAACATCAAACAATTTGGTGCAGCAGTTAGAGATGGTTACTTGAAAGTTGAAGTAAGTGCCCTAAATTTTAGCCAAACTGGATAAGAAGGGCATTATAAACTGAAAACTATCAGCATAATGTACACATAAAAGGATCCATTTGTTGAAGCCCAAATTAAACTCATACTTCAATTTTGTGCAGAATTAAAGGGGAGGTTTTTTATTTCAAAATGTAGATGATGTGACACAAAAAGACCCTTTTCATATTTTACACACATTAATTTCAAATAGATTTTCAGAGCTACATGTAGTTTCTTTTACTGTATGTTTCAATGCCTATCAGTCAATCATGTTATTATCTGTGCTCTTTTGGGACACGTTTATGGCCAAAGTTATACAGTTTTTAATAAATCTTCAACAACTGACTTCAAGTCACCCGTAGAGATAATCATGGCCTGCAAGCACCGATGAGCAAACTCCTGCTGACATACAGGGAGTGGATGGCCACTGAACCAAGATATGAGATTGTAGTACAGCTACAGAACTTGCTTTTACTGTCTATTTCAATGATTAATAGTCAATCATATTTCTGTGCTCTTTTAGGACACGTTTATGTCCAAAGTTATACAGTTTCATCAAATATGTATGGTGATACCACTTTCCAATGCCTGAAACCATCCATTGTCGCTGACATAGAGGGCAGCATTGATCTGACGCACACCTTCCAAGGGCTTGATTGGTCGTATCACTTTCCGATGCGTTGGACCATCCACTCCTGCTGACAAAGAGGGCAGCGGTTGTTCTGCTTGACCCATAGTGACATACAGCAGTTATGAAAGGAATGATTGCAGTCTCCCCATACAACTGTATCAGAGAGATAAGAGAAGAGCAGAATAATAGATAACAAGAGAACACAAACAGAGAAAATAAACAAATAGTTATTTAAAAATATCAATAATACAGTCAAATCTGTCTATAGCGACCACCCAAGGGAAACACCAAAAGTGGTCTTTGTAGACAGGTTTCTTTATTACATGTTTAAATGATAAGCCATTTTCAAGGGATTTAAAAAAAGGTCTTTGTAGACAGGTGGTCTTTATAGACATGTGTTCACTAAAGCAGGTTTGACTATATTAGTATTCTTTAAATTCTTTTTAAATATTGTAATTATGTTAGTTTCAATAAAACATGAATATCAAAAAATAATACATCATGTATTCAAAGCACAAAACAGAGATTGTAAAAGTGACCAAAGAGAAGCTAGATCCATAGAGGGCGAGAAAAGATAGACAGAATTAAGAAAAGTGAAGGGTAGAGAATGAAAGTATGGTACAGAAGGGTGAAAAGAAACAACACATAGAGATATAAAAGCAAGAAAGAGAGACATACAAGAAAGTAAAAGAAGGAACCTCAATGTATCATCCTACCTTACAACTACAAAAATTGTAGAGGGCGACATTGCACTTCCCAGTACAATAGATCGAATGTTGCAATTAAACTATGAGTTTACTAAATAAATTTACACAAGAGATGCTACACTGTATTTCACTACATGTTTGAAAATTGTAGACAGTACTATTTTTAGCTTGGTTTTTAGCTTGATTTTTAGCTTGGTTTTTAGCAGCACTCCTCATAGAGCAAATGACGTTGGACTTATCGATTTTCCTTGTCCTGTATCTATGTTAGTAATTTTCAGGGAGTTTTCAAAAAAGGTTTGTTCATTGAATACTTCATTTAAAAAAAATAGTAGTCTGTAACCCCAAATGCCATTTGCAGCTTAATCAACAACTTAGTATAACACATTTGCTGTTGATATGAAGGTTACTAATGTAATACCTAATATGAGGGGAAAAGGAGTACCAGTTAGGCAAAATTAAAAGATGAACTGAAGATTACTCACCGACACATTCTTCTTGTTTGTTCTCTGTTTGACATCTCAGACAGGCATCTGAAGAAGAAAAAAGAAAGAAAAAAAAAACAATCAGTCATAATGCATGTACATGTACATGTAATACAACTTTTCATTCCACTCTACACTTAACACAACATTAAATTTGTCAAGAATGATGAATGACAGATCAAGTTGTGTTACTTCCTGGTTATAAGATCTTGATACGAGTGCCTGCTGTTACATGTAGAAGAAGGACTGACTAGATTAACTTCATTTACTTTCTTCAAAGCTCATGAAGGGATACCTCTCAACTCAGTGTGACATCTGCTTCGCCATGTAACCAATCCAACCGGGATATCACACAGTTGGCTCATATGAAATGAGTTCAAACAAAGATTCTTTCAAATATTCATTCCTTCTGAAAACACTTTTTAAAACAAAATGGAACTCTTTACAACCATTCATGATCCATAGTTAACATTCAACTGATTCAAGACCCTGACGATATGACATATCCAATGCTCATGTCCAACAGCATTTTCGATAGCATTATATCATTTTGTTTCATGCAGCCCGACTTGTTTTACTCAACCAGGACTCCAGGAGAGATGAGCCTTTTGAGATTCAGATTCACAAATGAACAAGACATATCCACCTACACAAAGCTACTGTACCTGGGATTTGACAAAGTGAGTTCAAATCCTTATGTAGCGGTAACTAAGAAGTGTGACTTAGCAAGGATAGGTGCAGGTCAGTCATCAAAAATGATCATGGGGTAAAATGAGTGTTTAAATAATTCACTTTCATCTTGTACTATTATCAATAGTGGAGAACAATGAAGTAATTCAGTAAATGTACCGGGGTACACGTAATTCGTTTTTCCCCTCTTTTTTTACTACAGAAGGAGTGAATGTTTGTCATATAATTCATAGGAATTACAAGATGCATTTTTGTATTTAATAGGAAAAACACATGATTAAATTGTGATACACCAACTACACAATCTACAGTTCTTCTCATAGACAGCAAACAAGCATGTTATCTTTTTGTCATTTTTAAGTCATTACAAATTGTGTGAGATAGGAATTTACTGAATTTGAATTGAAAATTCCTTGATCCAAAAGGTCACATTAATTTTTGTTAAAGGTACAGTCAACTACTGTATGCACAAGTTAAAACATTGGCTAGATCAATGCCCAAAAAAAAGTCAAAATTTTGTTCATAATATAATCAATATTTCATTTTAACTCTTTGCTCAAGTCAAATTTTGCAAGTTATAAGTCAGATAAGTCAACAAAGAGAATTTACAGCACAGACAATTGATCACCTGCAGTAGCACACCCTTGTACATGTAGATCGACAATCAGCATTGTCATCCGCAATTGCTAAAATGCTGAGAATCTGACTGCCCTAAATTCTGCCTTTTTACATCTCTTGAGTCTTCCTAAACTGTGAACCTGAAACACGCACAACTACGTGTAGACACAGCTGACATACCCAGGCATACCCACAAATCAAATTCAGAACAAACAGACAAAGGGATAGTACAATTCCATATTTCATCAGACTACTAATTACTAAATGAAAATAAATGAAGAAAAAAAAGAAGGCATAAAACTTCTGTTTACTATTACAATACATGTACAAATTAAGTTTTAACACTTTTATCTTTAAGTCGAGGATTATTTTATTTCTTGCATCTTGTTCATTCTGTTGCATGTCACTCCTTTAAATTTTCCTTTTTCCTTCCCTTTTTATTGTTTCTATCCTTCTCAGTCTTATCAATCTATCTCCATCTCTCTCCTGACACACACACATCTCTTTTCGTCTCTTCATATGTCTCCTTTCTAAAAAGTAACATCTCTTTTCTTCCCTTTTTGTTTCTCATCGCTCTCTCCTTCATCATTGTTGGATATTTCATTTTCTCTCTAAATTGTCATATTTTATCTTACTTAACTCAACATGTTATTGATTTTAATGGCCATTTACTTGATCATTCAATGCACGTTGCAGTTGCTTTTATTTAGCCAAGGGTAACTATAAGGAGGGAATTTGTTGGCATATTGAATGCCCTTTTACAACAACACTAGTAATGCCTTTTTATTGTCAATGTTTTTAATATAGAGGCTTTTTAGAGCTACATGACTACATCAGGCTAGAGGCTAGAGGCTTTTTAGGGCTACATGACTACATGTACATCTTGAAATGGCATTATATTTGTAAACTTTCGCAATTCGGCTTTCCGCGCACGGGAGGAAAGTATTTCTGTTTAAACCATTTTGAATGAACAAATGAATATAGACCTAGTCATAAGAATGGCAAAAAAATAAGACTCAGCTCAGTCTCAAGAATCCTTCTGTTCTGAGAATAAAAATTCAAATGAACTGTCATCTTTCATATTCTTTGATTTTGAAAATTGAAGTCCATATTTTCAAGGGAAAACAGGTCAAGAAAACAAATAGACTACCTATCTAGAGATAGATCTGCATAAAAACTGGAGATTTAGAGCTACATACCCATGACTTGAACCCTGCAAATTGCACAAGTATCACATTCTACATCCCAACTCCACATCGCCACAATGTTCCATTTCTTCAACGAAAAGAGTCTCTGGTCTGAAGGTTTAGCATTCGTCGCCGTCCCCGGCCCGCTTCCTGCGGGGCTAGTGCCCGTGGAAGTACCGCTGCCAACTTCCGGATTCGCTGCTGCTTGAGGCATCGACATCGTACTCGTCTTTGTCGTGGACATGTATGCCACTAAACTCTTTTACACAGAATATATATGATCTAGACTCTATAGATTTATTTGATGGAATTTTAATTCATTTCTTCGAATGAGAGAGTAAAATGATGCTCGATAAGTCTACTTTGTGTTCTTTTGCCTATGTTTTGCAAATCTGAACTAATCAATATTCACCGTTGAGGGCGGGCCTGAAATTGCGTTGCCAATAAGCTACAAATTTTTAAATATAATCTTGATATTATGGCTCCATATATTTTTTAACGACAAAACCACACCTCAAAAAAACCCATGTAGTTTCAAAAAATAATTTTAAAGATTAATTTATGGTACCTATAAAATACATTTTAGAAAAAATCTGCTTAATGTTTACTCACCTTCGCTTCGATACTCGACTTTTCCTAAATTGTTGCTTGACAACCTGAAACGAAATTTGTAGCAGACACCTCGGATTAGCTTGGAAAATATCGAATTTTACTGGTTTTTTAAGGTGAATCTGTTCGAAAGGCAAACTTAATAATGGTGAGTGTCTATCCTCTTTAAAACCACTTTAAATTCCTTTCTTTCGATATCCGTTTCTTATTTTTCTACTGTCATGTTTCAGGTGTTTGTCTCTTGATTTGAAAGTTGAATTGATGATGGTTAGGAACTTAAGGGCCTAGATAGTCATTACACTAGACTAGGGCTGTCTAGGCTAGTGATATCTCCAGTCCAGGGAGCTTCGGCGTCGGAGCCCCAGTGCAGAGCCTGCATGCTGTAGACCTAGATCTAGGCTAAAGTCTAGCCATAGGAAAACGATTCAAAGACACAGCAGGTTTGGTCACATTTTTTCGAAATGTAAAGAAGTGGTACTGGTAGGTCTAGGTCTAGTTTTCTTACAATGTTTTTTGACACCTCTGGAATATTTGGGCATCCGTTCAACCACTTGAAATTATAAATTTGAAGAAGACTTTGGCCCGAATTCACAAAGGAGGTTTGTCGACAAACCTTGGTTTTTGTACGTCATATGACGCGTTTTTACGCGTTTTTTACGCGTTTTTTACAAACCTGGTTTGTAAAGAACAAATACTGAAATGGAGGTTTGGCGAAACAAAAGGAGGTTTGTCAACAAACCTCCTTTGATTGTGAATTCGGGCCTTTAAGTTTGATTTTGAATTGAAAAATGATGCCCGGGAATTGGACCAATGGAAGGATGATTTTTTGGCGCTAGTGTACTTTCGTATCCAGTTTTGGAGATACCCTGCCTAGACCCTACTCTAGACCAAATTTTCTGTCTCTTTCGTTCGCTAAGCCTCTTATTTGGGTAGGGTCGGCAAAGACGCGCTCATCCCGTGCAGGGCTCCAGTTTCCAGTGGGACGTGTTCATCGGAGCCGACCCTACCCAAATAAGAGGCTTAACGAACGAAAGAGAAGGAAAATTAGGTCTGAGACCCTACTAAAAGTAAAACATTCGTTCGAAATATGGTCATGATATAAAGTTGTTATATTTCACCCCTTTTGTGTCAATAATGATAAAAATGATCTTATCTTTTTTGGAGTATTTTTCCTACAAACGAAGACGGGTGTCTGATCGCGCACTTGGTTAAAATCCTTCCCATAGAGATTGCACACATCCCTATATGCAGTCCATGAGCATTGCGCTCTCATGCAAAATTGGTCAATGGTTTTATTACCAATAGGGTCTAGATCTACTGCTCGTGATCCTGAAGGTGATACTCAAAGTGAGGTGTCATATGAAAGAGCAGGTTTTTCTCCATATTCCCTAAAGCCTAAGGGGCTGGACTCTGAACTCTACAAATATCTGACCAAAACAGCGATTTAAACATTGTTTCCATGGTAACTCAGAGATTTACCAATTTCATGAAGTGAGCCCCCAATGGATAATTTGGGCCAGCTGCATATCGTGCTGTGCAGCTGTTGAGCAAAAATTATAACTCGGCGTGTACCACTTTTTAGTCCATTCTGGACAAAAATTGGATGAATATTGCCTAGATTTTGGGGGGCTGTATCTTTTGATAGAAACATCGGTGAGCCTTGAGATTTGAAATGCATTCTTCTGAGTAGTTGATTTTTTCAATTACCCAACCATGACAACAACAACAGAGAGAGAGATGGGGGAAAACAATCCAAAAGGGAAAATTGAAAAATCGTTCAGACACCCTATTTATAATATTCATTTTCTCACAGGTTTCACAGCAAACCGCTGCACAATTACAATACAATTGCATACCATACCGACGAAGGGGTGCAAACTGGCGAGCGTGCAAGAAGTTATTGACTGTATTAGTCGATTTCACGGCTTCACACGCGCCCGCATCCTAGCCCTTTGTCGGTATGTTACAGTATGCAATTGTATTGTAACTGTGCAGCGGTTTGTCGTGAAACCTTTGAGAAGGTGAATATTATACTGTCTTTGCTTCTAGAAAAAAAGATAAGAAAATTGACGCGGAAGGGGTAAGAAATATATATTGTCCATTCATTGCTTATATTCATAACTTGATTCTTTTATCCAGGCAAGTTCAGCGCAAGATGGACGTTATTCTTTCATCTGTGAGTGGTATGATCCTAACGCAGGACTTACGAGACGATATCAGTTCCTCTTCTATCCTAAGGATAACACTATTGAAATGGTAAGCTAGTACTTATCATTTGTGAACCCTTTGAAAATTGTTGCCTTGTATAGTATAGGTATGTAGGTAGATAATTGTGGCAATTGATTACTTCAATACTGGATTAGTAGAGAAACTAGGCCTATATTGAATTCCGATCAAGATCTTGATAGGTTCTTGCAATTATCTGCTTGTGATTTGGTTCTTTAAACAGACTTGTAATAGTGATTTGTGCTACACAAGCAACGTTTATTATCATTAAACTTGTAACATTAAATCTAATGAAAAATGATGTGAAAGAATGTTACATACATGTACATGTATAAATGCATTTCCTTTTATTTATTTAATTTTCTGTCAGTTTGACCTGAAGAACAGACGTATGTTCTTGAAGAGATCCGCTTGTGATTCGGTTCATCTAGCAGACCTGTATGTCGGGAGCACGGTGAACGTTCACTCACGTCAATTGAACCTTGTAGAATATTCTGATGATTTCACAAGGAGAGCCCTAACTACTGTCAAAGAGAAGTGAGTCAAACAAAATTAGATTTTCTGAAATTATTATGTTTTATTATGTTTATCAGGGTTGTATTAAATAAACTCCTTGCAGCCTCAGTGTACATCTGTTAGGTGTTGAAGAATATACCCACATTGTTGGTTTATTTATGTGGATAATTTTCAATATGCCAAATAAATAGGTAATTCTTCTGATTTCATTTGATCACATTCTTCGGTTTTGATATTGTTTGATGGCTTTGAAATGGAAAGTAGTGACATGTATAGAGTTCTTTAAGTGATGGTAGCATACATAACCTTCAAGTTTCAGCTCCTGTTCAAATAATGGTCTTTTGAAGGAGAATTTTTTTTTGTCATTTCATTAAATCCCATGTGATGTGTTGCCTGCTGTGGGATTAAATGTTGACTTTCCATCACAAGCCAGTTTCTGGCATCCACATTAGCAAATATTGACGGTCTCAGATTTACTGTAAGAGTATCGTCCAGGACAAACATTCATGTTAATTAATTTCTTTGTAAAATTGTCCGTCCCCCCAACGTTGAATTTCCATCGCATGCCTATCTTGACATACTAGTCTCTCTCATCCACATTAGCAAATATTGACAGTCTTAGATTTTCTGTCAGGGTCTCGTCCAGTACAATCATTAATGTTAATTAATTTCTTTATTGTCTGTTGTGGGATTAGATGTTGACTTTCCATCACATGCCCATCTCTTGCATCCACAACAGCAAATATTGACAATCTCAGATTTTCTATTAGAATCTTGATTGTCTAGTACAATTGCATTAATTGATTTCTTTGTAAGTTGTATGTCCCCCTCCATGTTGAATTTCCATCACATGCCTACAGGTTGTACGTACCTTGACAGACCAGTCTCTCGCATCCACATTAACAAATATTGACATTCTCAGATTTTTTTGTCAGAGTCTCGTCTAGTACAATTTTGTTAATTAATTTCTTTGTAAATCATAGTTTTACCCCCTTCACCTCGTAATGACATGTATGTTATAATGAATGACATCTTATGTCATTAAATTTCAGGACTCTGGGTCTGATCAAACCAGATGCTATTTCCAAATTTGGTATGTATGCAGACCTTTATTGATTCAATGCATACAAGTAGATGTTGTTGTAAAACACATATGCTGAAAGTTTGATTTGTTTGTATTGAGTTGTTTGAAGGTTTTATCATTTTTTGATTGTTTGTAGATCGCTACAAACTTTGCCAGTTACATTACTTTACACTGTTATAATGCAATGCATCAAATGACAAACATCTCCAAGGCTTGTTCACTGGTAAACAGTGGCAGTTTACCACAGGTTTTTTTTTAAGGCATGGCTGCGCTTTAATCTTCTTGATCTTGCAACAGACAGATTATAAATGAGTATGCACATACACATACTTAAATGTAAAAAAACATCATGGACTAAGAAAATAAAAGTGCCCAATCCCCAATCCCTTCTCGTCCAGTTCCTGATGGGATGTAAAGAAGTACCATCACCACCAAGAAGAAGAACCATAGAAAACTGAGTAAAGTTTTTTTGAAGATAGTTTTATACATTCTAACTGTGCACAAATGATTTATTATTTAAAGTTGATACTCTAAGCAAATAAATGTCCCTTAATTTGTTACCTACGGCAAGTATATGTTATTTTTAAGTTTTTCAATTACTTAGTATATCACAAAAAAATTCTGTCTACTCGAAATCCTCAATTGAAATGTCTAAAATATCCGCCTCTCTTTGCATAGAAAATCAGTCACGACGCTGGTCTACTATTTATGACCTCACGTCCGGGAGAGAGTATATTCACGTACCCGGATGTTCCATAGCAAACATGTGCAGAGTGATACGATTTTCTGCATATTTTTGTTTCAAAGGCTGAAAAGTCTAATAAATCATAATTCTATGTACAATTCTTTACCTTCCCCTAGTACTTCATAGTATTAATATCAATTCCCCTTTTAAAAATGATGACATATACATGCCAACGATGTGCTATTAGTCGATATTTTCACCATGTAATTTTTGTTTTGGTGTTGAAATCGGCCCAGGCACGGAGTGAACAGTAGTCTACCCATGCACAGTTCATTACCATACACTACAGCGATCTCCCGATGGTTTCTTCTTCCTTTTTCCCATTTTCCCATGTCTTTCGCCTTCCTTGGCCCTGAACATCCTTCATCTACCAATTCTGACACCGGTAGTCAGGAGCAAGTCTTTGTTAGTTGTTTTTCTTAGCTGACAACGTCGCTTTCATTCTCTTGCAATTGCCGATAAACATACGTAACTAGCGCACGTACGTTCCATCACAAGCAAGCAGCGCCTAGAGCAGCGGCTTGGTCTTACCTCCCGATTCTGCTCGCTCCACGAACGTTCATGCAAGAGCCGCATCACTCGCCAAAATATTATAGAGGAAGCGCGCTTGCATGATCTCATTCAAGTTTGATATTTTACAACATAAAATGTTTAACTGGTACTGTATCCTTTTTTGAGGCAGTCACACACATCTATGATAAGTACTATCATAGTTCTAGACCTATTCGTTTTACAAAACTGCTCATGCATGTACATCTGATGACAATATAATGCATCCGCCTATTCATAAGTGCACGATTTAACTTTAATTCCTAAGCAGTGAACTCGTCTTAAATCTCTACCAAATAGGTGAATATGAGGATATAAAAAGAAATCAGCGACTGGAAAATGTTGCTTCGTTATTCTTCATTCAAATGAAAACAGAAAATCCATCAAATATACTCCTTAACAACAACAAATCTAAGCTCTGACAGGATAGCATTTACGTAGGGATATCACTGCCATTCATTCTCACTGAGCCCATGACTCCCGTTCGTGACGTCACGGATAGAGGCCCGACTCTACGTGCACTTCTGGGTTTCAGACTTAGATATTTTGGTAGAGTTTACTCGAATAAATTTATTATTCTAAACTTGTTTTGTCGGGTGGACACCATTTGGTGTTATTATGGGGGTTAAAAGCTTTCTATTTATGTAATTATCTCAGTATTTGGGATTGTCTTAGAGTATCAACTTTAAAGGTGATTGGTACACTTTAAGTACAGGTACCCATCCTTACTTTCTCCTTGTGTGTAGGTCCCATATTTGATATGACGTACGAGGCAGGATTCCTGGTTACCAACGCTAAGATGACTCGCTTGTCAAGAAACGCAGCTGAGGAGTTCTATGCTGAGCATGTCGGCAAACCATTCTACAAGTAAGTGTGCTCTGTACTGAAATGATCTCTTGATTGTATAATAATAATAATAATTCTCAGCTTTTATATAGCACGAATTACAAGTAAGTCTCTAAGCGCTTCCAAACTTAGAGATTATTACCTCGGCTTTAGCTGTGCTGCTATTACGGCGTTCTAGCATTTCAAGGAATTAATTCCTGGAAGGTATCCATTTTTATCACCTGGGTTGAGTGAGGCAAATTTTATGTACCGGTAGATTAATGTCTTGCCAAAGGACGTTAGTGCCGAGGTGGGACTCAAACCGCATTTGTAGTAGATTGTAGTAGATATTTGACAAATTATTTTCTCTCAGGTCATATTGTGGTGCTCGATCCATTATTATTAGCTCAGCTTTAGCACGGCTGCCATTACAGAAATCAACATTTCCACTATGTAATGATGTGTATGTGAAAAGTTATATGTTAAATATTTGTTGTACAATAATCATTCCAAAGTCTGCTGGCTCAGAATTAAGACTACCCATTGTATTCAAATTGCAGTCTTGTAACTTCTTTTTTTTATGCAGGTAATCTTTCCCTGGTTTAGAGTTAGTTTTCCTGATATATATAATTTCTATTATTGTTGTTTGTGATTAATTATTTTCATGTAACAGGCATAAATGTTCATTTCTATTCTGCCATCTCTATTTTCTTCTTTCCTAAGCGCAAAGGGACTTTCTTTGTGCTAGTGATATGCACTATACAAGTAACGTTCATAATTATTATTATTATTATTATATCATTTATTTCTCTTTCAGCAACCTGGTGAGTTTCATGTGCAGTGGTCCGATCATAGCCCTGGAGTTGATGGCTAATAATGGTATTGGAGAATGGCGACGTCTGCTGGGACCTACAGACAGCAGCACAGCGCGCAGTGAAGCTCCTAACAGCATCAGGGCTAGGTTTGGAACAGGTGAGGAAAATTTTTCACTCAAATTCATTAGTATCCAGGGGAGTGTTTCACAAAGACTAACATCGACTTTAGGTTAGACTTAACTATGACATGTCATTCATGCCACTAGTTCCTCTAACCATTTGTTTCTTGTAATAACCTTTACTACTTACAATGTGTTACAGTATTATTGTTGCGCACAATTCACTGCACATTATCCACTCCCTGGGGAATATTCCAGCTACTGGTAGTCACCATTTTACTGGCATGTCCAATCACCAATCACATTGACTTTAGCATCCTACCAGATGCCATTTATAAACCTGGATGGAGAGGAGCAATGTAGAAAGAATACCTTTCTCTAGGACATATGATAAGGCCATGCTGGAGCTTGAACCCACGACCTTTGCATCCCAGTCAATTAATGACACCACTTGATTATGACACCTCTACATTGTATCTAGGTAGAAGTGTGTGGTGTTATTTATTAACCCATTGTTTACTGAAACCGGGTGTCCCATGTATTAAGAAAATGTATTTTCTAAAAAAATTACATTTGTTGTATCTTTCTCATCTATAGATAACACAAGGAATGCATGTCATGGTTCAGACTCTGTCGATTCATCGAACAGAGAAACAAACTTCTTCTTCGGACCGTCGGCAAGGATGCGCAATACCTCTACACTTGATAACTGCACATGCTGTATCATCAAACCAACAGCAGTCAAAGAAGGTATGTAAAGCACCTACATCTCTTTACTTGTATGAGATATTTGAGAGGATATCGCTTTAAAGGCACCAGCATTGGTATATAGTTCTCAAGAATGGTAGATCCCTGACAATATTAGATATTGAGACAATTATTGCTGTAAATTGCAATTAAAGAGAAGGTTGAGTTCTGGGAAGAGGTGAAAAATAATTTGTGAGCATTACTCATTCTTATTATGCAAGCGTGGAAGAACATCAGTTAAGACATGTTCCCTGAAAAGCATGGCTCTTCAAATGCCTTCGTATTCTAAATATGCATGTAAAATCGTAAAAATTGGGGGGCCGGTTTTTTACGCCACGTGTTCGTGTAGTCCCATATACATCTTTCTGTGCAAGTGTTTGTAACTTTACCAAAACTTGGCCAAATTTCTTATCATTTTGATGATTCCAGAACCTTGCAATACACACAAATTCTTATATGCTAGATGATCAACCTTTTCTGGTCGGTTCCACACCGTTTCTTTCACAATGCAATCGCATGACCATAACTCAACTTCATCTTTAATTGATACGCTTTTTAAATTTATTTCAGTCTAAAGAACAAAGTGCAATATTGCAGGTGCCTCAACTTCATATATAAAAGAGTTTTCCTCTTGTTTGTTTGAATTTTTTTATTGGTGGTGCTTCATTTGTAATTTCAATTTTTATTAATTTGTATCATTTGTTATGATTATGTTGTAATTTTACCATTGTATTTTGTCCAATCGACTGGTCCATGTCACAGAGGGGTCTAAGATAATGGCGGTATATAGGCTTGATTAGATATGAAGAAGTAAAAGCACTGTAATTTTCTAATGAAAGGCAACAACACGTAACAAATTAAAAGTTCCATTCGTGTATTCACTGAGCTCTGATTTATAAGGCACAGAAATATTAACCGCATTGAATTTACATGATGAACAAAATTTACTGTGTCATGTCTGAACTAGGCTTAAGGAAGATAGGTGAGAGATATATCATAGTAGACTTAGTATGAATACAATGTTGTTTATGTTTGACTCTACAGGTAAAGCAGGTCAGATCATGTCAGCTATCTGCAACGAAGGTTTTGAAGTGGTTGCCTTGGAAATGTTTCACATGGAGAAAGCCAACTCTGAAGAGTTCTTTGAGGTGTACAAGGGTGTCGTCGCAGAGTATATGGTGAGATCTGAATCTTTGTTGTAAATCTTTTTTCTCTCCTGTTAATCCATCTCTCATAATCTCTACTTTGTATAGATGTTGTAGTCTTGGGTTCGATCCCTGACATGGCACTATTGTCCTCTGGCAAGGCATTAGTCTACATTTTGTCTGAGTGATAGGATCATATTTGATATAGGTTGACACACTTGAATAGATTTTAAGGTTAGAGTCAAGTTTGGGTAGTGCAATTACTTTGTGAAGCCATTTGAATTAGTGAATCCTGTGAGGTTTTAGTGTTATCAGAATGATGAGAAATTGACTCAATTCGCTGAAAGTCACATCATAGTCATGGGTATATGGAACTACACTCATTTGCGGTAGGAGTTGGGTCCAAAATTTTCTGCATTTTAACATCATATTATTATTTCAAATATGAGGGAATTTGAAAAACAATCCTTTTTGGTGAATATAATTTTATATGATATTCTTCCAAACCGACATACAAAAGAATGAGAAAGTTTGCGATTTTTTTTCTTCTCACTCTTACCAGAACTCGACCTTCCCTTTAAATCCTGGCCCTGATTCATAAAACTTTTTATCAATAACAAGTTCCACAGATCTATGACAAATCTGCTCACAGCCAATCAAATGCAAGGGTTTCAGTAGCTTATAACAATGATTGTAATTTATCATTTATAAAGTTTTACGAAGCAGGGCCGAGAACAACAATGTCTCTAAGATTATAAGTCCACGAAACAATAAAGAGAGTGTCTAACAATATACCTGTTTATCTGTTCTATGATAGGACATGGTAACTGAGCTGACATCGGGGCCGTGCTATGCTCTTGAGATCAGGTGCTCCAAGTCCGACGACGTCACCAAGGCTTTCCGAGACTTTGTCGGACCGGCCGATCCCGAGATAGCTCGTCAGCTGCGACCTCGCACCCTGAGGGCTAGGTTCGGCAACGACAAGGTCCACAATGCTGTCCACTGCACCGATCTACCCACCGATGCTCTGCTGGAAGTGGAGTACTTTTTCAAGATCTTGTCCGAATAAGACGTACCGGCGTCTTCCAAGTCATTTTCCCGTCCTACTCATCGTTTACCGTCGTTCATACCCCCATGCGTGTGTGAATGAAACAACTGGATACTCTGTGATATAAAGGCACATGTTATCTGCCTGGAGCCAGAAGGGCATTGTCTCTGTGTTAAAGCATTTGAGTTAAAGCCTGTTCGGTTCCAAACAGACGATGTTATCCTTTGAAATGTTATGACATTATAGTTTTGACATACATGTATATATATGTCGTTGCCTTATTAGAACACTTTTTCAATTGACCCTGCGCCTTCAAGGGTGCATATAGCTCACCTCATTTGGAGCATGTAAAAGGAGTTTGTGAGACTGCCATGTTTAGCATACGTTTTATAGAATGATGACTTATGACCGGGAGAATTTTAAGAAGCAAAGCCTTTTCAGTTTATCGGAATATCAAAGACAAAACTTTAGTTTTGATTTCGAACCTACCCACTTCAAAAGAAAATTGACTTGTATAAATCAAATGATGCATGCTTTCATCTGTTCATTGCAGGATCCATCCACTCTCGTTGAGTATGTTTATCCATCCATCGTACTCAGTCTGACAGTTTTGTACGATAAATGTATGCAGCCTCAACTTGCATGTAGACAGATAGTATAATGAACTCATTCGCATGCATCATTTGTATAATATTCAAATTCACTTTTCCAGTTTCAATAATGGGAATTCTAACATTCCTAAAAGCATAATTATTACTGCTGGGTTGCATATATCTAATAGTATATTATTTCCAATTTTGATTTGTATAGATGAGGTATTTATGTCTTTTTGTAGGAGGAATTTCATTCTAATCTCCTTTTTTTTCTTCATAGAATGGTATACTGTAACACAAATTTTTCTTCATTATGACCAGCCTAGTCTCTGCCTTGCTGTGATAATGCTATAAGCCTTAGAGATTTTATAAAAAGAGGTTTAGTACTCAACTAGTGGCCCTTTATATTATTCTATATCCTAATCAATCTACTGCAGAATTAAATCTGATTTGTCAGTATGTAATAATTTACATACAGATAAACTTGAGTGCTGGGAAATTTTCTTCAGCAAATATTTGATCAGAAGAGAGTTTTGAAAGTCCATTTAACCATTTATTCAATTTGAGATGTAGATATGTGTACAGTTGGCATTGCCATATTCTAATGAAATTGTATCTTGTGAATAAATATTTTTCATATTGTCTGAATATCGATATCGCTATGGATCTGTTTATTCTGTGTCTGTGTGTGACTGTAATGTTGTATGTGAAAGTAAGGTTGTAATTATTTTTACCGTCCATCATAACCATCATCATTATCATCGCCATAATTATCACAACCAATAGTTGTCATCATCACCACCATCATCACAACCAATAGATGTCATCATAACCATCATTATCACAACCTATATATGTCATCATAACCATCATCATCATCATCACCACCATCATTATCACAACCAATAGTTGTCGTCATCATCACCACCATCATTATCACAACCAATAGGTGTGATCATAACCATCATCATCATCATCATCACCACTAACATCATGACCATCACTACCAATATCATCATCATCATCACCACTAACATGACCATCACTACCAATATCATCATCATCACCACTAACATCAAAACCAATAGATGTCATCATCATCATCATCACCACTAACATCATGACCATCACTACCAATATCATCATCATCATCACCACTAACATGACCATCACTACCAATATCATCATCATCACCACTAACATCAAAACCAATAGATGTCATCATCATCATCATCACCACTAACATCATGACCATCACTACCAATATCATCATCATCATCACCACTAACATGACCATCACTACCAATATCATCATCATCACCACTAACATCAAAACCAATAGATGTCATCATCATCATCATCACCACTAACATCATGACCATCACTACCAATATCATCATCATCACCACTAACATCAAAACCAATAGATGTCATCATCATCATCACCACCACCAACATCATGACCATCACTACCACTTTCGCCAGCATCAGTTTCCACTATGAGCATCCATCAACCCATAACAGTTCAGAGTTTTCTGTAGGTCTATTAAAATGAATTAGCCTTTCCTCCTCAAATTGGAAACAATTTTCAATATTTTCCACTTTTTAAAAATTAAAAAAATAAAATTATGTTAAAGGTAAAGACCAGTAATGGTCATGCGATTGCATTGTGAAAGAAATGTTGTGGAATCGATCAGAAAAGGTTGATCATCTAGCATCTAGCATCTGCAAGGTTCTGGAATCATCAAAATGATAAGAAATTTGGCCCATTCTTTGTAAAGTTACAAGCACTATACACAGAAAGATGTATATGGGACTAACCTATATCTCTCACAGACCATGAGAGAAACAAATTTACCAAATATATGAATTAGTATAGGCGGTTTCCCGGCAAATTTTTTATCATCATGTATTAGTCAAAACATATTCTTTCACATGATTGGTAATGAGAGCTTCCATTTCATTTTTTGAAATTGGCGCGTTTCCAATACTGGTCTTTACCTTTAAATGAAAAAGTGTGAATGAAAATAACAAAAAGTCAACAAGTAATTGCCAATTTGTAAAAATTGTAAAATAGTGATTATAAATTCCACTCCTAATTGCCAATTTCGAGACTTGAATGATTGCGTTCAATTAAAACGCTCCTCTTCATGAATGGAACAATGCATTGCAACGGAAATGGACTAACAAAAATTCCAGCAATTTTGTTTACCCCGCTCATGTACAATGTGTGATTCAGAGCATTTCAAATCAAAAGTTAAAACCAGAACATTAAAAAGGTGACACTCAAATGATATGGGCTAATCAATAAGAAAACGATTTTGTGAACAACATGATACATTAAGAAACAGACAAGCTTCTATCCTTGATTTTTATTAATACAAGGCAACATGGAATAATACATGAATTCATGCTACTCGGATCTCGAGCAGGAGGCATAAAACAACTACATAATAACCATACAATCACTGTTACAATGATAAACATTTTCAAAAACGATCAAAAATCTTTATCAAAAATATTCTGATATAAATGTATCAATTTTGGCCCTATTAATCAATGGAAGACCTGATTGAGCAAGAATGGTTGATATCAAACAAAGACTATCATTATTTACAGAAATATATATTTACAATAAAAGAAATCATCGATCGGCCATTGTAAAAATGAGAAATCTCACTATTAAAACAGTTTAATGCACCAGATATATTAACATGTCTGTTTGGAGCTAAAAGGGCATTTATTTTGTAAAATGATTAATAAATCAATGCCCTTCTGCGTCCAAACAGACAATGTATACTCTCGTAATTTATTAAAGCACTCATTCATAAATCAAAACAGATTTTTGCTCCACATGGGAACGGGTGAAAAAATATGAAATATATATATTTTTTCTACCTACAAGAGATATTGAGTTGTTACATTGTAAAATAAAATACATTATGCCATTTTATCTACATCTTTACATATATTCTTAATTACTATGTAGATATAAGCATATCTACATGTAAAATCATACTTGATATCATCTATATTTCTAAAACAAAATGTGCTAAAAAAATTCTACGCACAATATGTGCTAAAGATTTTTTACACAATTTGCTTGCTATACAATTTATAGAAAAACTCTATCGTAATTTAGTTGTTGATACATGTACATACCGGTAAAAAGTTTGAACAATAGACCCTAAAAAACAATTTTGTTTTCATTTTCACCTTTTCTCAAACATAATTTTTCTCCTTTTTCTTTGTATCTCTTGTTTATACATGAGAACTTCAAATAAAAATCTGCTAAAAAATCATTAGAATAATTTTCATTTTGATGAAACCTCTAGCATCTAAATGACATTTAGCAGCACAACATAAACATGTTCTCACAGAGCAATAAGAAAAATCAGTTTAAGAGCGAGAGATTGAAGAAGGAGGAGTAAAATAATTGTGCTTCTTTGACATTTTCTTTGAATTGGACTGAAGTTTTTTGTTTTTTGTTTAAAGTTTTGAATGGTCATTTTGAGGGTTATAGCATTTGAAAGTTCCTTACGGATAAATGACCAATATTTTTAGTCACACCTTTTCTGAGGACATTTCAACTCGCTCTAACCACATGCCAAATACAAACCAGGAAACGATTACTTAATTGACTTTAAAACGATCTCTCTAAAGTTCATCAAAGTCAGTTTGTTTTCTCCTTGGCATTTAACTCCTGAATAAACAAACAATGCATGGCAGTTTAGACCCCCCCCCCCCCCCAAAAAAAAAACTCTTAGAAACAGGCAAACTGAAATACTGTTTTATATTGGCATAATGGTATATGAAAACAAAAATCACATATAAGTACAATACACACAAAAATGACTGCTTTTAGCTAACAAGTATGAAAACACACAAGTTACTCCTATATTAGAATTTTACATCTACTTAAAAAATTCAATAAATAACAAGATATAAGGGGAGACAGAAGAGTGATGAGAAGAAGGTTAGAAAACCCAGGAAAAAAACAAAATACACATTAAGCAATACCATAAATACATTACTAAAATGATATGTCGTATATCTAACAACTTGAACGTGAGCACTTCATTCTGTCTTTGGTAAATGCCTACAATTTAATAGCTATAAACACATGCATACAGCAAAGTAATGACACTCCTATTTTATTGATGAACAAAATAAAATGCCATTCCTCTATAAATGAGTTGTTATTTCTGTCATTAAAAACAAACTTCCCGGGATTTATTAAACTCTTTGATTGCTGTCTTTGTCTCTCTGCACAGCAACTCGTTTGCCACACATGCATATTTGCACAAAGCAATAGGCAACCAATGGACAGAGGTATCACTTTATGCAACACAATGTCTCTGCAAAATTAAATAGTCATTTGTATGGTTTTGATTAGCTCCATGACAACCCTTTCAACAGTGGTATATTTATATTAATCTTGACTGGAAACGGTCAAATTAGCTTGGAAGCCTTTGGTATATCTATCCCGGGATAAATACAATGTGGCACAGGAAGATTATTTGGGGTATGTAAAGAGTTAAGTAAAGTAATGAGCCATTGAAAATTCTGATTTCAAAATATATGTGTGAATAAAGATAAATACTGTAAAGCAGTTCTTGAGGAAGAACTGAAGGTGTACGGTCAACTGTAAGAAAATACACCAAGATCAAAAGTTCAGGAATTTACTCCAGGTTGGATTGGGGGTAAACCAGACTTCTATATTAATAATAGTGTATCATGATTGAGGTCAATGCTGTTCAAATATCCACCAAATACACAGAAGACTGTATTTTAATACCGTTAGACACAATTTGGTATCCTATGTATTCTAAATGCTTCTTCGATTGTATGCAATGAGAAAACAAACAAGACTGAGAAGACAAAGAGACATTGCAAGGCAAAGAGACAACACGAGCATAGGATACATGGCACCAGGTCAAGAGGTCGCGGTTGGTCAGTCTAAACTACAAACATCAAAATGAGACAAATGGCTCTGGGTCCTGTTTCATAAAACTTGTTATCTATAACAAATGCTAAATTTCTTTTGACAAATTTGCTCTCAGCCAATCAGATGCCATGATTTCAGTAGCTTATAACAGTAGCTTGTAACTTGTTATTGATATCAAGTTTTATGAAACAAGGTCCTGCACCACTTATTTGGACTCTCCTGGAGGACCAGGTATCGCAGGAATACAGATGACAGTCTTGAAGCTTGTTCACACGTCAAACTTTAGCTGTTTACTGCGAGCGTTTTAGGCACAATAAGTTTTACGTTTCTGTTTCTTACAACAAATGGATGAGTGAGTATGAATGGGACCTTTGTTGTGCACAGCTACGTCTTATTTGTTCATCCCAACCTGCCATTCATTTACTTGTTAAAAAACAAACAAAAAAACAAAAAACGCACTTTCAAACGTCATACAATTTATATGTGAACAAAGCCTTTACTATGTCATTCATTATATAGCACACGTGTGTGTGTCATATAAAAAAAAATACTGTAAATAGATGCACCCAGGATACACCAAGAAGTGCATGTTTAGACCCGTTGACTACTGAATTCTGTCATTTCCATAGGCTTAATACAGATATAATCTGCTTTCTATAGGTAAAGGGTTAAAGCACTCAAGAATAGGCAATGCAACTTTTTTTTTCCATCGATGATACACATACATGTTAATGTCAATGACATAAATAAGTCATGAATTCAATGCTTCAAGCATTATCACATCATGATCAAAAGTTGACTTACAAAATGCGAACCTTTAACAGTTATCACCTATGCTCCATGCGATGAAGAAAGAAAATGTACCATTTCACAAATCTCTTTCTTGGCGGTTCATGTTGTTTTGATGTAATGGGTCTTGGTAGTCTTTATCTTATTGAAATCATGAATGGTTTAACCATTTTCAAATCATGATCAAATGTCTCCTACAAAATGGTGAACTTTTAAATGTCTCCTCAAACTTTCTTGTCTTCTTAGCCAAACAAAAGAATGTAGAAATCTCTTTGTATTCGGTGGTCCCTTCATGTCGATATAACAGAGATCGGAGTGTTCAATCTCATTTCTTTCCTAACTGAACACCGAACAATGAGAGTCCTTTCCACCATTTTCAAATCATGATCAAAAGTCTACTACAAAATGGTGGGCTCTGAAATGTCTCCTAAATCTTTCTTGTCTTCTCATCTAAACAAAAGGATGCAGAATTCCACACATCTTTCTTTGTATTCGATGGTCCCTTCATGTTGATTATACTGAGACGGGATTGTTCAATCTCATTTCTTTCCAAACTGAACACCGAACAATGAGAGTCCTTTCTTCTTCGGGGTACCGGTACTCGCATCAAGCTCCACTTCCGGAGAGGGGGCCCCTGGAAGCTGTAAGGCCGGTTCTTTAGCGCTCGGATCTCTCACTTTCCGATGAGGCATCGATAGTGCTCGCCTCACTGTCACTGTGAAAACAGAGTAAACAAATCAGTTTACAAACATGAAATTACTTGACACAAATTCATAATTCTTGTTACAATTGGCAATGTCAGTGTTCATCTAGAAACAAATGTTATTCTACAGTCAATTCTGTACAATTTCACCAAAGGCACCCTTTTCTTAGAAGAATTAATTTTAGATTCACCATTTAAAGTTAAAATTGCCCAAGACACTTAAGTTGGCACCACGATGCATGATTAAAAAATCATTGATTTCAATAAAAATTTCAACAACAATCTTGTCTATGTATATACGTTTCAGAGCCATTTCATTTCATTTTGATAATGTAGCCATGTAAAAAAATATTTCTGTTGTCAATTCAAAGAACGATATGTGACCAATTTAGTCCTAAAAATACATCAATCCTGTCATGAAAGGGTTTAAAGCAGGACTGCACTACTTGTAGCTACTTGTGCCCTCTATATAGCCAACAGTGCCTTAGTGGTCCCCTTTGTCTTATGTTAATTGAGAGTTAATTTTGATGAGATATCCACCTGCCAGTGACCACGCAGGGAGATTTAATCCCTCCTGGCCAAACTAGTGTAGATAGGCTTTAAAAAAATTGTGTACTGATGTAAAAATAGATGATATCCTTACCTCCTCTGTCTGATGGTTTGCTTGGCTTGTCTCTACTAGATGTGGTTTTCAATGCTGCTTCCTTAGCAGCCATGAAGCTGCTGCCTGTATACAACAAAAAGGAGCATCAAAAATAGAAATTTAGTCATATTACAAGAATTGCTGAACACTAACTTTCCCAGATTATTTTTCTTATTATTGAAATGGCACCAGTATCATTTTGATGGATTCATTTATAGCAGTGTAGATGCTTCAAAACAATGCTCAATCAGTGATGACCTTGTGCACTGTAACCATTCCATTTCAATTCCATTAGCATGCTATTATCGTTGCTATGGCAGGCAAGTCTCAAGCAGGTTTTGGAATAGTCACAAGATACCTTTGGAATATGGACAAAAGTCAAGTTCACTTCATGCAGGCTCTCTCTCTCTCTCTGGGAATACCCCACAATAATATGATCGTGATTAAATTAATTAAAATCAGATAGATATAGGTATAGATATGTAGGTGTACCGTAATTGCCAATAGTGCAAACTGTATTTTATACTACGGTACTACTACTAGGTCGAGCAAATTCGCAATGATTAGGCAAGCTTTTTCCATTCAGTTCTATTCTCCATGATCTTTAAGAGTTCCTGCCTTGGTAGACAGGTGTCTTTAGAATGTACTTTTTTTGGTGGACAGTTGCTAAAATCGATTTTGATTTATCATTATTGATTTACCAACTGTTCTATGCAAGTCATTTTTTTCCAGTGATCATACAAGGCATGTTCAGATATGACACGGTTAACCACTAGAAGCCACCGCTATTTTTTAAACATGTAAATGAATGGCAACTGTGCGCAACAAAGGACATTTTCACTAAGCTCTGTGTTCTTTGATACAGAAATGTGAAGCGTATTACACTTTACGTCATCATTTTTAAAAAAATGCTGGGCTTCTGCTGCGTGCCTGCGTCATATCTAAACAAGCCTCTAGGGTAAATGATCAATGGTATGTTAAGTAGAATGTTACATATCAGTAAATAGCTTTTAAAATAGTTTGCAAACCATATTTGGTAAAAATTTAGCAAGGAAAAAAAATATATATAAATATATACCCTATATGAAAATATTGCTTGCTTTTCTAGCATTTTTTTTTACCTTTCTTCTTATAAAAATACTCAATGTGAATCAGTTGATAGAGCAATACCAATATGTCATGAACAATGATGGGAGTTTAATTCATTGAACATGTTTGTTCTCATCAATACACATTTCTTCAAACATTATAGTATATGACAATCAGTCCCTTATTGAAGTTTGTTGGTTGGTCAAGATTTAATATTTGGCAATTTCAATCTGGATCATATGTGACCATCTTCCCTAGTCAATTTTAGTTTGTGTTTATATGTGAGATACGTGTATGAGTACATCAATTTGATCTGTAGATTACACTTCATCCTTTCATATGAATAATAAATATAACATACACATGCCTTGTTTTGTGTTCATGAGGTTAGAAATAATAATGACTGTACAAAATATAAAATCTGAAAATTAACAATTGTTTGTAAGATTTACATATTTATAAATTGTATATGTATCATAAAGTTTAGGATCAAAATGAGAACAATCATATTAACATTTTTCCACTATGATATTATTTGTGATTGTGTGTTTATCACTATTATGTGAATGAATAATATAATATACACATGCCTAGTTTTGTGTTCATAAGATAAAAATAATAATAATGACTGCAAAAAAATATCATGCAACATGCAAACTTATATCAAAATAAATCATAGAAAATAGAGAGTATCGTATATGTAAGACAAATCAAATAAATGCAGAAATTAATCATGAACCAGTTTGCGTAGAAAAGCATTCTGTGATATGCATTCCAATAATAAGACTTGCTTACTCTTAATTCTTCTCTTGGGTCGATTTTTATGAAGAGTACCTTGGCTTACTACAATACAAAGCCATTAATAAGGAAATAAAGTTAAAAGAAATATACTTCATCAAAAGTTGAATTCTCTTGACTCTACAATGTAATGGGTAGCAAAAGGCATTAACTTTAATTGTAATTGAATCTTTTCAATAAAAATATGATTATAGAGAGTCATATTTCAATGAAGAAGATGAAAGTAACAAAAAACTATGATAGCTTTAATAGCACAATGTTGTGACACAAATAGATGCGTCCAGAATGCAAAGAGGCCTAACAATCAATACAAAGTTGTAATTTGACATATCTAAATGATTTTTTAGAGAATATTACGTCTGACGAGGGTAGTAGAGATATTTAGTAGTCCGTGATCTACAAATATGGTTCTATCACAATGCCATAACATCATTTTCAAAAATTATGTTCTTTGCGTTTGAGATGGGCACTACTCAAAATACATATAAATATCCATATTATTATTATTATTATTATGGATAGCATATTATTATAGGTGTTCTAAAGAGAAAAGACCCTCCTGAGTCATACATTTTCAAGAACAAATTTTTGTTAGTCATTTTGTGTGTTTGGAACAGATGGGAAAGTTGGCCGCCACTACATCATTGGTACATTACTGATTCAGCCAATTTGAAGAGCCCATACCTATAGTGATTTAATATTAAAAACTTCATAACTTTCTCATATTTGTCTGATTTCATTCAAACTTTCTCTGATTTCCTCTTGAGTAGTTTGCTTTCAAGGTTGGTTTTCCCTTTAAATCCCGTCTCCACTAGTTTGGCCAGGGGGGATTAGACCTCCCTGCATGGTCACTGACAGGTGGTTATCTCATCAAATCAGCTCTCAATGAACATAAGAAAAAGAGGATCATGGGGGACCAACAGGCACCGATTGGGGAAGTTTTCTATATAGAGGGAGCAAGTAGCTATAAGTAGTACAGTGGGGCTTTAAAAAATGAAGAAGAGTTTTAACCTACCTCTAGTGAGGCCTTCGTGGACGATCTTCCTCTCTTTGGCAAAGTGTCTGAGCCATCTCTTCTTCTCTTTCCTACTCCTGCACATGAAGAGGTACACCTTGGACTGGTCTTCAAAGTTCTGTATCTTCCAGGCGTACCGAAGCGTTACGTTCCATTCATTCTCTGTTAATATAATGAGATACATGTATTTGATTTATTGTGCTATAGATTGACACATACTAAATCTATCATCGGTTGACTTGAAGTTTTGTTGACTGTATGTTTGTCATATTGCAAATTAATAAATGATTGAATAAAACACTCAAATAGTGGAATAAAATCTGAATTGAAAGAGATTCTTTGCCTCAGAAGCAATATCATACAGTTTAGCAGATTCCTACAATCTTACATGTACTAATTCTTCTGTGTGTGTGTACTTTAACAACTTAAAGTCTTTTGTGTTTTAATTGTTGATTCTAATTCATGACGATTTTTACATTGTAAACATTGTGCAATTAGCTCTTGGACTACTACTTTGCATTTTGAATAAACCAAATTGAATTTGAATTTGATAAGTCTTGCACTCATTTCAAACAAAATGATGCAATAAGTGGCATCTATCATTAAATCAAAATCCAAAAAAAGTTCAAGTTGAAAGTCCTTTTTTTCTACAAGAAGCACTAAGTATTGCAACTATACATGTTTAAGAGGTACAATATTTTGCACAAAGTAAATATGCAGATTCAATTTAGATTATAGAAGAACTTTCAAACCAATTTCATTCCAGGTTTAAATTATGATTCCTCCATACACACATGCATGTATATAGAGCAAATGCATGTTTTCCTATAATGCTCATGTAGGATTTTATATGATAAACTTTTGAGAAAATTGTCTTACCTTTCCCATCTGGTAGATCCTCTATCTGACAATCATCCAGATCTATCCTGTCCTTGTACACATACAGATCCCGTCTTAGTATGTCCTGCAATAATAAAATAAAAATAAATCATCATCTTTATGAAGAAATAATTTCAAAACTACTATGTCACTGGGTGTTTGACACATAATAGGTTGTACAAAATTAATATCATCCCTTTTACAAATATGTCTTTTGTGGGAAGAGCTAGTTGTTCATTTTTCCTTGGACAAAAAAAAACCCCATTTTAATATTAAGTGTGAAATGTTTTCCCATAGAAGATCTTTTATACCTAATATATGCTTCGAAATGGATGTTAATGCTTGTATATAAATTAAGTGGCACTCAAAATGTAGGATTAATATTCACAAATAAAACTTTTAAAAAATGATGACAGAACAAACATTATTTTTGTCTTCCAATTACAGTATATCATGTAACAGAACATAGATTATTGTGCAACAGAAACTAGACATACCACTTACGAAAAAACAAAGGAACATAACAAACAACATAAACTTATATACAAATTGGACAAACTTATAATGCAATTATTATTACATTGTGTGCAGGCAAGCCTGAATCCGACGACCAGGTTAATAATATATCTGTAAGTGCTTAGGCACATCGATGATGTATTAAGCGCTATATAAACACAGAATATTATCATGATTATTATCAAAATTGATGGATGAAGTTACAGTGCTTAATGTTAATTAAACTGGAAGTATAGACATAGATTATGAAAGTACAAAGTTAAGGCAGCCATCACCATAAACCATCACTAAAATACGAGTATCATTTGTGCATATAGATCTACCATCTTTCCTTGATTATACCCCCACACCGAGTGCTATATATATATAGATGGGACTATTATGACGACATTGAATCCTTACGCGCCACATGTAGACGGATGCAGTCAGGTATTCCTTGCCACTCATTTCTCCTTTCCTTGTTTTATCAATCCATTCATCTATCCATAACTACAATATTCAGCATTAAATGACACGTAAAGACAAGGGGAAAACAAAAGGAAGGGATGTCACATAGAAATTTGTCATTTTTAAAGTTTTGAAGAAAAAAGTGTGTACCACAGTAATTTATTATATACCGGTAGATAGCTGACAGTGAAGAGCCAACCACATGATAAAAAGGATTAATCCTACATTGGAGAGAGACTCTCGCTATTCATTTTCGTCTTTCTTTGCTCCAGTGATCTCGAGGCAGCAGACAGCAAAGAAAATGTGTGAATAATCACTTAGCGTGAGAAAGTCCACATGAGTGGATGAAAGCTTGCCTCCTACAGGTTCAGGTTGGTAGAAGCTTAAACTACATACTACTAGCTTTTTTTGTTCGGCAGAAACTAATACAATCTAAGTCCATCTGAGTTCTCCTTCTGTTCATGTTATCATCCTAGCATGCAACCCCATACAGTTAACAACATAATTATTCATACATACCCCTTGTATTAAAATTTGATGTTTTGTGAGTTTTTCGTAACTCCAGAATGAAAGGTGGACTGGTTAAATTGAGGCCTTGTTGAATACTTTCAGATTGAAGTTTTATTATGTCACATTCTCAAGAAACATAAATTGGGATAAATCAATTTTCCACATACTCAAATATTCACCAAACTAAAAGCCTGTTTGTACTAGTTTGGCCAGGATAGATTAGACCACCCAGCATGGTCACTGACAGGTGGTTATCTCATCAAATCAGCTCTCACTTCACATCATAAGAAAACGGGGACCATGGGACACTAAAGTTCACAGATTAGGCATTATTTTCTATATAGAGGGAGCAAGTAGCTACAAGTAGTACAGTCCCACTTTAAATAATTACCAAACTTAAAGGGTATGAATAATTGAGTTGTTAAATGTAAATATTGAAGAAACACACAGAAAGTAAATAGACTTCCAGGAGCAGGGTGCAAGTGTTTTGTAGGAAGAGAGTCATACTTCCAGAGCCCATCTATATATCAAGAGATGTCTATATCTATAGGATGCGTTCAAGCAATTTTTTGAAGCTAGAATCACAAACATGAATCACAAATCAAAACGCCGTTAAAAAACACTGTTACTGTGGGAGAGCGTTCAAGCGATATTTCATCAACGCTGATTCTCACTCATTTCAAGCCAAGCCACTGCTCATCACACTGTGCAATTTGACCCAGGAAGTATAGGTCAACTTCGCCGCGTGCTTTCTGTCCGGTCAAACCGGAAGCAGGCCGTGATAATGGCGTTATAGAATCATGATTGAAATCTCCGTTCCTTCAAGCGATTTTTAGCGACTCTGCAGAATTAGTTAACAAAAACTTATCTTTTTCAGCGTTTCATGTGTGCGTTTTTAAAGACGTTCATTTTTACAACAAAAAAACAAAATCGCTTGAACGCAACCATGTTTTAAACTAAACGTCTTTGAAAACTGTGTTTCTAGGGTGAAAAAGTATCGATTGAACGCATCCTTAGATTAAACTGAGAAGATAATATCTATAGATCAACCTACCTTTCTGCAGATGATGAGCTGATGATCGAAGAGGAACAGTTGCCGTGGTGACGTACGATGTCTACCGGCCAGGCTCACACGATTCACTTCGTTGGAGTAGATCAGCATGGAGCTACGATCTAATACATCATCACCCTGCAAAAACAAACAAAAAAGTTTCTAAAATAAACTGTTCTGACAATGTATATATCATTTAAATGACATAAATATATCATTTTATATCAAAGGCTCACAGCAGATGATAGAAATGTTTTACTGTGATCTCTATCTCTTCACCCACTCTGTGCGAAGTGACTAGCAGCTCCCAGTGGAGAAGCAAGCACCATGTCGGTCCTGATTATATCATTCCACTGGGGGACTGCCATCCCGCTGAAGACGGCAGAGAAAAAGTTGACGTGCCTTACAAAAGGTGATAGGCACGGAAGAATATTAAACCCGGAGAGAAAATCATAGAGACGTCTTGACTCGACTGTGGTGGTAGCAGGAGTGATGAAAAACCTTGTGGTGTTGAAAATACGCGGAGTAAACGTTGCGCGGAACCATGATGCATGATTGAAAGAATAAAAACATGTGGTCCGAATAATGAATATAAATAAGTAGCGTGATGAAAAATTACTGGAAATTACAACTCTCAACAAAGAAAAGCCAGACAGAATCTCCCAACTGTGATGGATGGGACTATCAAACTATCAACTATCCTCACCTCCCAATCTCCTATTGTCTTCTGCCACAGCGCAATGTTCTCAATATGCTCTATCCTCCGTTTCCTCTCGTTGATGCTCTGCGCTACCTCCCGCATGGCCTCAAGGGCGCTCTTCAAGGGCTGGTAGTCGGGGTGCTGCGGCCGCGTGTACTTGAGAAGCTCATTGAGTTGGAGAGGGTATTTGCAGATCTTCTGGACCGGTGTTAAGAGGAAGCCGTCAAGTTGTATCTTGATCATGGACTGAAGCAGACGACAGGCCTGCAGCATCAAGGATAGACAAAAAATATAGTTAAATAAATAATGTTCTACAGTGGCTGCATTAATAACGTGTAACAACATACCACTTTGCACTGGAGAGTTATTACTTGTCTTGCCACCTTCAAATTAAATACAGTACATTCTCTAGTAATCGAATGTTATCTATCGTCTGTGTATTAATTCCTGTTTTGACTTCAAATCTGTGATTTAAAAACGCTATGGTAATATGTGCTTTCAGTGCCCCTAAAAACTTGTTTTTTGTTGTCGTTATCATTGGTATAATATTATTCAGGGTTATGCAAAAGAAAATGCCATAGTAATCGACATGTGATATGATTCCTTCACTGCACTCATTACTAACCCTAACTTTAAAGGCCCACTGCACTACTTGTAGCTACTTGCGCCCTCTATATAACAAACAATGCCTAATCGGTGACCATTGGTCCCCCATGATCCTCTTTTTCTTATGTTAACTGAGAGCTGAGTTGATGAGATAACCACCTGTCCAGTGACCTTGCAGGGCGGTGTAATCCCTCCTGTAAACTACGGCAGATAAGCTTTAAAGAATCATACGTTAAGATCAACCTCCTTTTACATCCAGAGTATGTAATTAGGCATCAAAATAGAAAATTACAACACATTTGCATTAGAAATGAATAATCATAATCAATATAAGTGCGCACATTATTTCACATTTCAATTACTTCAAAAAATAAATACAATAATCGGAAATCAAAATCATACTTACAAATACTAGTGCATACATTATTTTAAAGTTCAATCACTAAAAAAATGATAATGAAATAATAACGAGAATTACTAGCAAATACTAGAATGGTCACGTTACCTCAAAGAATTGCACATATTTGTTGTCTCTCATGAGTGTTTGGAACTCATTCATTGCATGAGGATAGTTGTTGCAGTATTCACCGTAGATGTCAAAGGTCGATTTCTAGAGGGGAAAAAAAACAGGGTCAGGATGTCAATAGGTGGACTAGCAATACTTCATATGTTTTATGGTGGGTGTTTCACAAAGATCCTAAATCGAACTGAACTCTAAGTTGGACTTAACAATTATGGTTAGCATCTTTGAAAATATTTTGTAAAAGTTATTTTAAAAGGCATAAAATCATTCATATTTTCAATTATAAAGGGGATTTCATGTTCTTGATGTGGAATTTATGAAAAGTCTAAGATACTTCAATTTCTGCTTTTGAATATATTTCATTTTAAGGCTACAAATGGCTCTCCATAATTTTCAATTCTACTTTGGATCTTTGTGAAACACCCCCCAGGACTGATGGCTACTGGATATCAACAATGCACTAAACACAATTGTTGGTTGTTACTGGATTTCATGTTCAAACATACTATACAGTGTATGTAATCCTCCTGCCTAAGGAAAGACATTCAACTGTCATCCCATAACCAACAGCATGATACCAGTGAAACCTGTCTATAAAGACCGCACAAGGGAGACAAGAAAAGTGGTCTTTATAGGCTGGTGGTCTTTTTGTACAGCTTCCTTTAGTTAATTTTTCAATGAGAAACCACTTCCAAGGGAAACAAAAATATGTGGTCTCTGTAGACAGGTGGTCTTTGTATACAGGTGGTCACTAAAGCAGGTATGACTGTACTACAAATTGCATGGATATTTCTTACAGTACATATGCATCATCAAGTGTCATGAGACTGCAAGCTATTCAAAGTTACAAAATTATCATTTAACATAAATCTTTTCAAGGAGAAATAATAGAAGGATCAATCCTGGGATTTACAGATATGAGTAAAAGATATGAAAGGATTGAAAGTGTGATAAATCCAAAAGGTCATGACTAGATAAGCAGACTTGACTTTCACAGAGTATGGAAACAGTGTGTACTCAACTGGTCTTGAATGATACATACAGGTTCATTCATATATCATGTCTCGGTCAACTGCAGGTTATTATAAAGGGAGCTGCAATTCACAATTTTTTTTATTTTTTTATTTTTTAAAGCACACAGTGATCCTATTTTTTGACCCATTTTACATTATAAATTGTATGCAATTAGTCCCCAGACAAATATTCCTTTTTATTTTTTAATAAACCACATTGAATTGAATTGAAAATTCTCTGAAAAATTCATTTCAAACGCTTGGAATCGACCAAAGGCATATATGTGAACAAGACTTCACTAGAGACTTACGTATTTGAGGAAGCAATCTCCAATGGCACTCAGATTAGGCATCTCCTTATCGATACACGTCTCAAGGTCGGCCAGGAAGCGCTGCTGGAAACAGTAGATTTCCTCAATGTTACAGAAGAGTTTGGACATGAGAGTCTGGTTGAACATGTCGGGTCTACTTCGAGCCTGCTCAATGTAGCCCTGATGAGTAAAAAGCCAAAGAACGATTATTAGTTCAAGTTTAAGTTTAAGTTCACTTTATTCAATAATTTCATTAAAAATATACAAAGGTAAACAAAGATATAAAAGTTTTATAATAATATCAATATATAACGTTAGAATGTCAGAAGTGGAGAAGACAAGAAGAACAAGGAAAAAAATCTAGAAAAGAAACTATTTCATATTCAGAGATGAGTTAACAAGTGAAGCCACATAGATGTAGGCTCTATGTACTGATGCGTCATGACTGGTTTATTGCCATTTGGTCTACAACCAGTTAGTCTACTACCCAATTAGTCTATCTCCACGTAGTCTACACACAGCCTGTCTACTATCCATATGGTCTAATGATCATTCTGTCTACTTATCATTTGGTCTAATCTCCATTTTTTCTGTTCTCCAATAAGGCTAAAAACCAATTCGGTCTATTGTTCATTTAGTCTAATTTCCAGTCGGTCTAATTCCCAGTTTGTCTAATGCCCATTTCATCTACTATCCATAAGGTCTGTTAATCATATGAAGATCATCATCATTTATAATTAAAAAATTAAACCATCATGACATGTATGAGTCTTCACTTGTTACAGGCAAACCTGCTTTAGTGAAACCTATATATAAAGAACCCTCAAGAAAAACATGAAAATTGGTCTTTACAGGCAGGTGGTCTTTATATACAGGTTCCTTTAGTACATGTTTCAATGAGAAACCATCTTCTAGGGAAACAAAAAATGTTGTCTTTATAGACAGATGGGCTTTCTATACAGGTGGTCTAAGGCTGCGACGGGTAGTCGAATGCTCGAGTACCCGCACGGTTGACAACTACTCGGGTACGATTTCTCGTACCCGAATATTCGGCCGCAAAAAAAAATTTAAAATTTTTTAAAAATTTATTAAAAAAAAAAAAATGTCCAGGCCCACGCTTACCCGTGCCAGGGAGAGCGGCGTCTGCTGGCATGGTACCGTCGGTAAAAATGTTTCCCAACTCAAGCACTGTCAAACTCACCTTTCAGAAACTGGGACCAAATGTCCAGATTTCTGTTTGGACTTGGAGGAAAATGGATTATTCTGCCATCTTTGGTTTTTAAAACAGCATTGTTTACTGTTATTATTCTTATTAAATCGGCGCCTTCAACTGCAACTCAAAGTAAAGTTGCATGCGTTTTCAGCGAGGGACCTGAGAAACTGCCGAGTGGTATGGTAGTGGCAAAAAAAGAAAAAAAAGAAAAAAAATCAAAAAATCAAAAAAATTCCAAAAAATTCAAATAAATTCAAAAAAATTCCAAAAAAAAAAATCAAAAAAATTATAAAAAAACATGGCGTCCGAATATTCGAGTATTCGCCTGTGAGCCTGGGAGTGTACTCGGGTACCTCATTACACTGTTGTGCACAGCCCTAAGGTGGTCGCTAAAGCAGGTTTGACTGTAACAAGTGAAGCCACATACATGTAGGCTCATGTCTTACCTCATAGATATCAGCCAGATTCTTGACATAGTCCCTCTCCGTGGTGATAATCTCTCTGATGACATTGGCCCTGACCTGGTCGTTGCTAAGGAAGCTGAGACTGACCTTGCGGATGAGAGGCTGGTGGGAAGGGCTGAGGCCTTGCTGATGCAACGATGTGTTGTCTTGGAGACGGGACATGCATTCTTCGACTGTTTCTCCTTGACTAACCTTCAACTAATCAGACAAACAAAACATTAAACATTAAAAGGTAATATATTGTAAAATGAAATATCAGAAAGTATTACATAGCGCTAGACCTTATCTCTATCTGCTACCTTACTACTTCTACTACTCACTCTAACAAAGGGTGCTGGTAGCCACCCTTCTTGTTCATCAATGCACCCCCACCACCAGTACGCATCCGTCATGTCTGTTATCTCTATCTGCTACCTTACTACTTCTACTACTTACTCTAACAAAGGGTGCTGGTAGCCACCCTTCTTGTTTGTCTATGCAACCCCACAACCAGTACGCATCTGCCAAGTCTGTTATATTATCATCTGCTACCTTACTACTTCTACTACTCACTCTAACAAAGGGCGCTGGTAGCCACCCTTCTTGTTTGTCTATGCACCCCCACCACCAGTACGCATCCGTCATGTCTGTTATCTCTATCATGTCTCCTGCTTGGAAGGTAAGCTCGTGACCATCCATGGTCACATGATCAAAGAGAGCCTCGGCTAACGTCGCCGCACAGAATTGCTCAAATGTCTAAAAAGAAAAACAATACCAATTCATAAAACAATCGATTCAAAACAACCTCCAGATCTCCCTCCAAACCTCCTTCCCCCTACCTCATTCCATATTCCCTCTCTCCCCCTCACTCCCCCCTCTTCTCCTGCTTCCCTGCTCCTTCCTTTTCATTCCCCTTCTCTCTCCCTATCAATCTGTTGTTCTCCCCCCTCCCTCCCTCCCTCCTCCTCCTCCTCCTCCCTCCCCCTCCTCCCTCCCTCCCTCCCTCCCTCCCTCCCTCCCTCCCTCCCTCCCTCCCTCCCTCCCTCCCTCCCTCCCTCCCTCCCTCCTCCTCTCCTCCCCTCCCTCCCTCCCTCCCTCCCTCTCCCCCTCCCTCCTCCTCTCTCCTCCTCTCTCTTAATTTCTCCCACCCACCCACCCACCCTCCCTCTTTCTACCCCCTCCCTCCCTCCCTTCTCCTCCCCTCCCTTACAGTATATCCACTAACCTCAGACATTCTTGCATTGATCTTACTAAGATCAGGATCTGACATCATGAGCTCATCATCTCCCAGTCCTAAAAAAAAAAATTAAAAAAATACATTATCAAACTGGTCAAAATGATTTTCTAATCCTCAATAGAATGCTGTCACAAAACTAATGAACAAATAAATCACTATTGTGCATGTCACTTCTTGTTTTAAATTGGAAAAGGAAGCATCCTGGGCAAAGTGTTTAGATTTGGAAGTTATTTGTATACTTGTGCATGCCTCTCCCTTACAACAACAATAATAATCCCCTCTGGGATAGGGAAGAAGATTTATTGTTCCTTTGTCGATTTTTGACACAAGTTTAATAATATCTGTCGAGTAGGACGGTATTTTGATCTAATGCTTTAGAAACTGAGGCAGTGTTCATGATAAAAACATTCATAAACTTCAAGTGGCAGATGATAGTATTTACACTCAGGCCTACAAATATATAACAAATAAACCACACAGATTACTGCTCAGAGAATCAATTCAATTCGCAAGGTTTTGCAAACTTAAAGATAAAGTTGGGTTCTGGTCATGCGATTGCATTGTGAAAGAAAAGGTGTGGAATCGATCAGAAAAAGTTGATCATGTAGCATATACCGTACTGCAAGGGTCTGGAGTCATCAAAATGATAAGAAAAATGACACAGTCTTGGTAAAGTAACAAGCACTGTACACAGAAAGATGCATATGGGGCTACACAAAAATGTGGCATAAAAATCGGGCCTCATGTTTAAGCTGTCATCTGTCATAATTAAGAATGTATAAAGGCATTTGAAGAGGCAAGCTTTTCAGTGGACATTTTTACACACTTGCATAATAACAATGATAAAGCTTGGCACAAATTATTTTCACCTTTCCCAAGAATTCAACCTTCTCTTTAAAGGTTCAACCTACATTTCAAATCAGAGTGAGAGCAAATAATACCAAACGAGAAGTTTGCCATAAAAGAGATTTTCTGCCTGCTCACCTTCTAATCTCGAAGGTAAAGCGAGTTTGAATGGAATCGCTTGAAAAGACACAATAGGCAACTGAAGATTCTGGTTTAGAATTCCATCCATTTGTTATGCCATTCTAGACAGCCTGAAGGCAACATAGTTTGTTTTCTTTGTAAACATTTCACGGCAAGCTTTATGCCCGATTCTAGCCTTACTTCTCTCAAGAACAAACATCAAATGTTATGCCCCATGTCTCACTTTTTTAGCATAGGCTGGAAAATGTTCTAAATATCACATTTTCTGCATAAATTGTACTGGGGTAATGATGTTGAGGAGTGAGAACTATTATGATTCTCACGAGTCCCTCTTCTTACTGTAGAATTACTATTTTCTCAAAATTTCATTAAAGGGGAAGTCCATCCTGATATTAAGTTGGTTTTAATACAAGCGGGAAAATGAGAGGAACAAGTCAGTGAAAATTTGAGCAGAATCCAAAGGAAGTTACGAATTTGTGTGACTTGTGATCAACCAATCACACATAAGCAACTCTGAGACATATCTTGCAAGGTACCCTCCCATATTTGAATGTACTATGCAGGCGTTCCCAAATAAAGCTGTGCTTTTCAGACCAAGCCTTCTTCTATGGATTAATTACTAGGGAGGTTCACACGACAGTCCAACAAGTTTAAGTTTAGCTCATGGTTTTAAACTTTGAAGTTATCTTAGTTAGGGACTGTGCAGACACACTCATGGTTATAAAACTGTAAGTTCACTCAAAGATACAAACCATGAACAATCTTAATGTTTAATGGCATATGAACTGCTATGTTTCATAGCTATTGATGATTCTGTGTACCGGTATACAATGCTTATACAAATTAAATGAATGTAACTTCTAAATATTTCTTTTAAAAAGTTTGTTTGACTGACCTGCTGGAAGTGAGTGCTTCACATGATGAAATTTTTACTCAAAGTTATAAAATATGAGCTATCTAAATGTTAACATGTTAACTGCTATTTTCCTGTGTGTACATGGCTACCGGTATTGATAATTCTGTGTATACATTGATTTGAAGAAGTAAATGAATGTAACACTTAAATATTTCTTTAAAAATTCTTTATCTTTTTAACTGACCTGCTGGAAGTGAATGCGCCCTCTTCATCAGCGTCATGTCAGGGATTTCAAAGGTACCCAGAGATCCGAGAGATCTCGACCTAGGCTTCGGAGTGAGCGGGGTGAGCGGGAGATCGTTCATGGTTTTATCGTTTTGCTCCGCATCGCCGTCGACGACCAGGGACAAGGGGTCGGGGGCCGGCTGACGTTGAGATCGTTGAAGTCGTGGCGATGGCTGCAAAAGAAATAAATTGTTTGTGTCAGTAGGGTTCCATCTTTCGCACACATTTCCATGCTAGTGGCTTAATGATTATACGGTCAAACCTGTCTATAGCGACCACCTAAGGGAAACACAAAAAGTGGTCTTTGTAGACAGGTTCCTTTAGTACATGTTTCAATGAGAAACCATTTTCAAGGGAAATAAAAAATGTGGTCTTTGTAGACAGGTGGTCACTAAAGCAGGTTTGACTATATCAGGAGGAGAGACCCCGAAGCTCAGATTGATTCCGTTTGCTGCCACCATCCCCCCCCCCCCCCCCCCTCCAAGGCACATGTGACGCAAACTACTTAATGATAAGAATGTATGGAGATTTACATTCTAAAGAGTTTATGACAAATTGAACAAATCATTTGATTTCCTCTGAAATGTTGCGAAGGCTAGATGCAGTAACTATCAAGAGTTGAAACATTATATTTCATGTTATCTATCGGTTAAAAACTTAACAACATATGACAATTGCAATACACTGAATTACAGTGAAACCTGTCTATAAAGACCACCCAAGGGAGACAAAAATGGTCTTTATAGAACCTGTACATAAAGAACAACCTGCCTATAAAGATCACTTTTCTTGTCTCCCTTTGGTGGTCGTTATACATGTAGGCAGGTTGTTCTTTATGTACAGGTTCTTTAAGTACAAGTTTAAATGAGAAATCATATTCAAGGTAAACAAAAAATGTATTTTTTGTAGACAGGTGGTCACTGAAGCAGGTTGGACTGTATATGATTGAATCTGACATTGGGAGAGTATGGGAGAGAAAACTGGGTGAGAATGACAACCAACCTTTCCGTCTGACTGAGTAAGTTGTCTGATGGGAGACTCTCGGCCGCTGCTACTATTCAATATTCCCATGATGCCGAGCGCAGACGTCGGCCTCTTTCTCACGACTGCCAACGGTTTAGATGTTCCCTCGACTACCTTAGGTGCTTCATCGCCTAAAACACAAAGACATAACGTAAGTCATGATGATAATAACAGAGGGTTTTGTAACATGCAATGTTATATAAAAATTCAAGCATATTTAAAGATGAAGTTGAGTTCTGGTCATGCGATTGCATTGTGAAAGAAACGGTGTGTAATCGACCAGAAAAGATTGATCATCTAGCATATAAGAATTTGTGTGTATTGCAAGGTGCTGGAATCATCAAAATGATAAGAAATTTGGCCAAGTCTTGGTAAAGTTACAAACACTGTACACAGAAAGATGTATATGGGACTACGCGAACACGTGGCGTAAAAATCCTACCCCTGAGTTTTACGATGTTACATGACATATTTAGAATATAAAGGCATTTGAAGAGTCATGCTTTTCAGGAAACATGTCTTATCTGATGTTCTTTCACACTTGCATAATAAGAATGATAAACGCTCACAAATTACTTTTCACCTCTTCCCAGAACTCAACCTTCTCTTTAAACATAAAGGGTATGCTTTACACTGGGAAATAAATGTTATATTATTACCCTATTCAATTAAGGCCTACAGACCACACTGTGAAAAAAAATCCTGAGGGAAAAATAAACCCATCAAAACCACATTGACAATTATTGACAGAGCTATTTCCATGTTGCATTGCTTGTTGGTCTACAACCAGTTTGTCTACTACACTATCGGTCTATTCCCATTTGGTCTACACCAAGCCTGTCCACTATCCACATTGTATACTATCCCCATGGTCTAATAATCATTTGGTCTAATCTCCAATTAGTCTATTACCCATTTGGTATATTGTTCGTTAGGTCTCATACCCATTTATTCTTACACCCAGTTTGTCTAATGCCCATCTATAAGGTCTGAAAATCATTTAATGATTGTTAATATTTGTGATTAAATGATTATTAGACCATATGTATAGTAGACAAAAGAGGCATTAGACCAACTGGGAATTTGATCAACTGAAAATTAAAGTGTATCTGCCATAGTTTACAGGAGGGATTAGACTGCCCTGCAAGGTCACTGGACAGGTGGTTATCTCATCAACTCAGCTCTCAGTTAACATAAGAAAAAGAGGATCATGGGGGACCAATGGTCACCGATTAGGTATGGTTTGTTATATAGAGGGCGCAAGTAGCTACAAGTAGTGTAGTGGGCCTTTAAACTAAATGACCCAGTTGGGTCGTAGACGAGCTGGTTGTAGACCAAATGGCAATATAAAACCTTTAAAAAAAATATCTGATCTCGGTGACCTTTCTCCAACGGGGAATCAAATCCCAACACGCAACAAAATAGTGAAAATAGTACAACAAATATAGATAGAAAGGCTGCATAACAATGAGAAAGTATTTCCCCTCTATTGTCTGTGATCGACCAATCCTCCAGGTTTGTTTACCCTATTCTTAAACAGCCCTGGTCGCCACAGAGTGGCATTCCAACAGAGATCATGGAATGCATTGGGCATGCTTGATGCAGCCTGGTTTAAATACAAAATTGGCAGACGCAGAGATGAAAGAAGACATAGAAAATGATGAGAGAGAGTGATAGAGAGAGTGATAGAGATAGAGAGAGACAGGGAGAGAGGGAGAGAGAAAGAGAGTGAAAGAGAGAGAGACATAAAAACAGAGGGAGAGAGACAGAGAGACAGAGACAGAGAGAGAGAGAGACAGAAAGACAGAAAGACAGCTAGAGATAGAGAGACAGAGAGACATAGATAAAGACAGAGAGAGAGACAGGGAGAGAGAGAGACAGGGAGAGACAGAGAGAGAGAGTGACAGACAGTCAGACAGAAAGAGAGAGAGAGAGAGTAATGAAAATGGAGGGAATAAAGAAGAATAAATGAGACACAGACACACAAGGTAGGAACAATTTAAAAGGAAATAATTTGTTTTGAAGTTTTCTGATTGTTCAACTATTGTATGAGAAAGGTCTTTATAAAAAATATGTTAATCTAGCCCATTGCCCTCGAAAGTAGATGGCCCCTGTATTAAGCCTATGGCATTGAATGAATTCAGTAGTCAACAGGTTAAAGTAATTGATTTTGTTGGTACTTAGAATATACTTCAGTGCATGGTTCTTCATGTCTAGTCCCGTTATCTCCTTCAATCAAAACTAGTACTTCAAGAAGTTTCAGAATGTAGTTGCAAAATAAATATATCAATTTCTGACAAATTCGTCTTTCTGTTCCTTTATATAAAAAACAATAAATAGCACTTTAAAAAGTTTCAGAATGTAGTTGCACAATAAATTCATCATCATCTGACAATTGTTTTCTTTCTTTTGCTTTATATAAAAAAAAAACTAGCAGTTTAAACAGTTTCAGAATGTGGTTGCACAATAAATTTATTCTCATCTGACAATTTTGTTTCTTTCTATTCCTTTACATGTATATAGTTTCCTGTCTGTAAATACATATAATCTATTCATTTGAAGATGCAATGGAAAAAGAAAGACAGATAGAAAATGGTCTCTGACCCATCTAACTTTTGACTGGTTAGCAATTTGAATGAGATGGTTGATGGCATTGCAGATACATGTACATGTACATGTTAAACTAAAATGACAATTTATCAAAAATAATGTTGACTGAGAGAGTGCATATATATACATGTATAATATGGCTACTTTTCTCTACAATGAATAACATTAAGAGATGGTTTTGTCTGGAGAAAGGGCATTAAGTTTGTGTTAAGTATTCAAGTCAAAGCCTCAAAGATGATATGATTTGCACTTTCGAAAAAGAAATAAGCTCTGAAATCCTTAAATTGGTAACAATTTAAGATATTTAAATTCACTGGATTTTTTAAATAAAAAATTGTCCTGAAAAGTTCAATACATACCTTGCATCTTTGCTAGAGTCAAAGCAGCCTTGATGATCGATGGGTCACCTAGATCAGTCTTGGATCTTCTCAGAGGTTTATGCCTTGGTTTGGGCGGTTTGATCCCAGACTGCATTGCAGCGTGGCTGATACTGCTACCCTGACTGCTTCCGGAGGCGCGCATCCCGTTGCCACGGCTACCGAGCAGGTCCTCCTGGCTCTCTGAGGGGAGATAGGAATGAGTGGAGATGTTGGGAGAAGGAGCATGAAATTGAGAGGACCATCTTTTAGACGGGGTGGGGAGAGGGGTGGACCATCTTTTAGATAGGGTGGGGAGAGGGGTGGGGAGAGGGGTGGAGCCAGTGGTGGAGCCAGTGGTGGAGCGAAAGGTGACATTGATAACTGGTGATGGAGGTTCAGAGGTTGGGATGTTCCTAGCTGACAAGGGTTCAAATGATGTCTTCTGGGTGTCGTTGTCAACCCGAGATGAAATCTTGGGGGCGCTGGCCACCACGACCTGTACATCACCTTCAAGATGTAGAAGACTACTGTCAACGGAGTCTCTAGAATATCTCTTTGATGGGGTAGAGTTTGAATCTAAATGTACGTCTGTCTTTGAAGATGGTCCACCGGAGTCCAAGTCCGATTCCTTGACCTTCGATGTCTTCCTCAATCTTGGACATGTTAGTAGCCTCCTTGGAGATGGTAACGATGACGATAAAGCAGTAGAACTGGATGTTGCTCCCATGGTTACACGTGACCCACAACATGGACTCAAAGATGATGACGAGAGAACATCAGGTTCTCCTAGATAAGATGCCGATGATGGTGATGAGTATATGACATCCGAACCTGACAATACCGTTACAGCTCCGGTTAACATGGTAGAAGACATCTCTGAAATCATATCATCCACAGACGATGCAAGAGAAACTGATTGGGGTATCGCTGCATTAGCTGACAAAGATGTTGGGACATCGTTCACGACAGGCCCCATTATATAATCGTCACCTCCAACTCATTCTGATAACACGCTGTCGACATGGAAATAAGTTGAAATTCTTTCTGAGAATATCAAGTCTCCAGCTCTCTGTATATCTGTTACACTGCTACATGTATGTCCATCATATAACCCAGTAGTATGTCCAATACAGTGCAACCTCATACTCCAATAAGTACCACTAATCACTGCTCCGAGCGGGAATACACAAAAATGCGTCAAAAGTGACAGAAGCAGGCTTCTGGGGGACATAGGGGATGGGCACTGACAATGCCCGGGCGCCACGCTCCACTGCAGCTCTACAGACTTTCTATACAAATCACTCCCTCCATACATTCGGTCAAGAGGGCTACCAACGAACCCCCACAATCTGTATGGAAATTAGTTGGGGCCTGAGAGAAGGTATATATAGAGGGGGGATAGTGACACTCCCGATGTTATGTAACACACATTTTACACTGAAAAACAAGCAAATAGAAATGGTAGCCAGACTCACTCAAGTATATAAAACAAGGCGTTGCAAAGTCCTTAAAAAACACTTCATTAGGTTAAATCGCTGTGACTAAATGACCATTAGGAATTGCAACAATACTTGAAAGTGAATTGAGTCTTTGATTCATGCCGGCTCTATTAAGAGTTCTTATTTTAATTTTCTATTCATTTTGACCTAAAAAAAAATTATTTATCAGAAACAATTGGTAGAAATTCGGAAGTTCTCTTACAATGGCTTCCCATATGTACACACTTGATACCAAAACCCCTTGAATGAAAAGGTTTTCCATCTCTCTGTGTACATGTAAGGTGATGAACCGAGGCTGGTATCTAGCGACGACATGGCATCTTTATACTAGTACCAAACATGTGAATATAATCTACAATACTTCCAGTGTTTAATACAAGAAGTAGACTGACTACTGAAACTATATAGGATTAGCCATTGATCTACAAAGAACATGACAGAAAAAGAAAAGTTTCTAAAGAGTTGCAAAGTTTTCTTTTCAGGTTTTTTAGGAACAAGAGGAGTCGGCTAAGTCTGTAAATATACATGGACCTGCATGTACTATGGGGGGTCTGATGAGAGTTTGACTTTTTAACAGCAGACCGTGGGTTTCAATCTAGCTCAAATGTCAGTCTGTGTTTTGTGGAAAAGGGTTCTCATTTACCATGTTAAAGACGAAAAAAGAAAGTACCGGTAAATGATTGGAGTACTGTACGATGATGGTCTGATAAGTAAGCCTTACACTGTGGCAGTACACGCACCTCTACGAATCCCTTCCATTGAAACAGCTTTAACCTAAACAATATACAATATAACAGCATCACTCTAAACCAGTAACATTATTGTCTCTTCAGGACTACTTTATACAAGACTTGAATATATTTTCATTATTGTGTTTATGCATCACAAGCTACTGACAGAAAGTATTTCAAGGAAAGCTTTATTTTTCAAAGGGGGTAGCATACTGGGCAAAGCATAAACACATAGTGTGATTGTATATGGGTTTTTTGCTGTATCACAACAGTCTGAGAGTTACGATGCTATTCTTTTGTTATATAATGTCCCAGGGGAAATTCCATTATTACTGTTTTTCTCTAACAGAAGAGTAGTTAAATATTTTCCAAAGGTTAATCTACAAATAAGAGGTAACTATAAGTAAGGTGAGGTTGGCACTTAATTGACAGGAATTTTAGGGCTGTTTTAAAATCGTTATCAATTAGTGTTAGCCTGTTGTTTGGTTTTACATACATTTATTTCTGTTGGACTGTTTGAGGACCTTGCTAGTGAGATTCATGCAAAGTCATTCCTTTTTGTATGTAAAAATGTTTCTAAAAAAAAGTTCAGCCATCATGAAATCATTGCCACATGTACACATCCAGTCAATAAATGTTGTTAATTCAAAATTACAATGATTTGTGCAGGATGGAGACATTCACATCTGGCACTCCCTACACAAGTGGACTAATTTAAGCCAGATTTAATTTAGTTCTCTTTATTATTATATGAAATAGTGTATAGCAGGATTCAACAGTGTAAGGGGTCCAGTATATTTCAAACATATTAATGAAGGCCTAATACACTTTGATAAGCACCTAGAACTTCAACCCCCCCCCCCCACCCATCCACACACACAAAGAAACAAGAAAAACAAAATGTTTTCTCTAGAGAGCCAGAAGGGTGTTAACTCTCTGTTACAGTATATGAGTTATTGCCTTTCTTGCTTCAAACAAACTATGTTTGGAATCGTACCTGGTCTAGAAAATTGACCATCCAAGAGGTCTTCTCGACTGCCGGTGGTTGGAGTAAGGAGATTAGGGCTATGTGGTGTAGAGCTAGACAGGTAGCCAGGTATACCTAGGATAGAAGAAATGATGATATAAATAATGTATTAAAGTAAGACAGCATTGGAAAGAACTTCAATTTCAAATTCATATCCATTTCTTTCACTCAATAAAAAAAACAATGAACAAGTACAGTGAAATCAAACAAAACATAACAATACGAAACAAAGCATTTACATTATATAAAATATGTAAATACCAAATAGAGGGCCAGCGTTGAAGATTAAAAATCTTAGTTGTGCCAACCCTAGCACGAAGAAGAAGGAGAAGGATAAGAATGAAGATTCTATGTAAAAGCTAGTTCAAAATGGGTAGAAAATATGACTGGTTAGTTATAGTACAGTCCATCAAAAGACTACTTCAAGATGTCACAAAATTTAGATAATCCACTTTGTATCATTTAAAATAAACTTCACCTGATTTTAAAGTATTTTTAATAGTGATAAGTTATTGATAACATCATATTTACAAGCACTTTATTTGAACCAAACAAAAACATCAACTCTTTCCAAATGAACATCATACAGTTGAAACTCATTGTCATATCCAAAACAATACACCATTTTCAACTTTGAGTTTAATCATCTACATGTTGCAGATAGTATAGTGTGAGAAGCAGTAATAATAATAATAATAATAATAATAATAATAATAATAATAATAACAAAAACGGTGCTTATAAAGCACTTACCACCGAAGTCTCTAAGCACTATAACAAACAAAATACAATTTCATGTAGATCTAGATCTACAGCTGAACAATAGCCGAGTAAAGAATAAAACTAAAGGGATTCCTAATGAACAGCACACCGCTTTCATTACGTTAAAAAGGAAGTCTTTCTAATGACTCCACAATCTATGGCATCCTGATTGAGTCTTAATACAGGAAAGAAGAATTATACTGAAGACCAGTAGCTGCTACACAGCTGACAACCATTATACATATGTGGGTCTTGACTATATAGCTTCTGAATGCTGTGCTGTTTGGAGGGTATACCTTATGCATGGTCTTACGTAACCCTCCCTGCATTATGGCATGGTTAATCATTTCTATCATGATGATATGGTTCTATCCTTTTTTTTTAAATTGCAGACATAGTTGAACTAACTGAAGTGGTAACTTTAAAATAAATTTTATAGTGCTTTAAAAGCACATAATCATACAAAGTTTGTTTGTAAACAGAAACCGCGTTAAATGCCCATAATGATAGTGCTGCTATTATGTTTGAAATGGGATCCTCAGACTTGAATCTGTAGTTAAGGTGGTGCAGTTCCCATTACAATTACTCCCTCTTTACTTAAAACTTTACTTAAGTTTTACAATAACTCATACATACTAGCAGTACCCTTTAATTATATGCATCTTTTCTGATTTCATAAACAAAACTGTTATAGCTCAATGTGAATCATTTCAGTGGAAATAAAAGAAACAGAAGTTTTGGAAATTGGTTTAAAAAAAGTAATTTGATATTGCATTACTTTCAACACTAGAGGGCAGCACTTCACTATCATGCTAATGAACAGTGAAAGTTCACTTTCATACTAAAGAACTTATAGATCTAGAAGTGTCATTCCTTACTTCAAACCAAATAATTACTATAAAATGCAAATACCACTTAAAATACACACCCATAAAAATGTGAATAAAATTATCCTAATGAAATAACTTTCTACTGATATCCATACTGCTCATGTGTTTCATCACAGCTGTAATTAAGTATAAGCCACGACAAACCCAACTGTTGTTTCACTAATAAAATGCACAAATTCAAGTTATTTATCTGACTGCAAAATAGTTGTCCCCATTTAAGATATGAAGCTAAATGAGCGGATTAACTCAATATCACACAGAAGCGCTTTTATATTTCTTGTAAGATTATCAGGAAATAAATATTAATGACCTTAGTTTTAATATTTCATAAGCAAAATAGTTGTCCCCATTTAAAATATGAAGCTAAATTGGCTGATTATCTCAATGTCACACAGAAGCCCTTTTATATTTCTTGTAAGATTATCAGGAAATATGATATATTAATGACCTTAGTTTTCATATATCATAAGCATTAACATGGGGATTATAGGTCATTTTCATATCATTCCGCTATCAATTTAGGAGTTATAGTGAAAGAGAATATCAGAAATGATGATCCATGCAATATTCAATGTCATACAGACACAGCTAGGACAAGATAATAGCAACTAGTCTTCCCTGTCAGACCCAATTCACAATATTAATGTTTTGAAAATATGAAATCATAAAACAAAATTTCATATTGATTAATGAAATAAAACAGTTTTTTTATAAAATACAAATTTCAACATCAGTTCATATTGGTGACCATGAATCCATGATATGATCTATAAATGATAAATGTTTACCACAAATTCTAAATGTGATTTTTTTTCTTTCTGTCTTTCTTTTTTGGTCAAACACAACTGAGTGAGTGGTACAGTTATCTGATTTCTGTACTTGTATATTTCTTTGAAATGAAAATACAGATGTTTGCTTTCAAAATACTCAATGGAAGGCACTCTGTCTAGGGGTTAAATCATTCTTTAGAGGCCAATAATTTTTGACTGGGTTTTTAGTACCTGCTCGATACATATTTGTCGGATCCAATAATCAAATTACAGAGAGAATCACCTACCGGGGGAATTTCTTATATCTCAGAATCAAGGATATACATGCAGGTCTATCTGATATACACACAGTATTAGACGGTAGATTTATCAAGTTACTTGTATATTTCATTGAAATTAGGAAGAAGAACAAATTATTTGCATCCAAAAAGCGCAATTTTTCACTCGGTTTTTCCCTGTTTGATACACATCTGTCTGATCCAATATCGGTAGTCAAATTACAGAGAGGATAATGTATTTCTTATTTCCTAGATTCAAGAATATACTGGTCTACGTGATATACACACAGATCACATGTTTCTCAAAGAACTGTTTTTCAAACTTATTTTGAATTCTTTCGGTTTCAATCTTCTCACAAACACCCACTGGCACTCTTATTACAAGAATTCAAGGAGTATATTTTCTTTGTTTTCAGTGTAATTGAAACCACACACAAACATTAACATCAATCTAAGCTGTTTGTAGTTAAGAAAATGTAAAACAAGTAGTTTTGATTGGTTAAGAATTTTAAGATCCACTTCTTCCTGCCAGTAACATTATGAAATAAAAATGGTTTCTGTACATTAATAACAAATATTATGAAAATGTAAGGAAACACAGTATGATTCTATTATATTTTGGGTTTTATAATATGCTGCACATAGAGGATTTACCCCCATTTAAAATAAATAATATTGCAAAAATTGAGAAAAGTCTAGTTTGTGGCCTCACATTCGTATCTATTTGCTCTATCTTTGCAGTAAATTCTAAATGTGAGTATCTCAAACTATATGGCCAAACACGAAAGAAAGAGAATAAATCAATATTGGAGGCTCATCAGTCATTAAAGCAGTGAGATGGTATTAAACCAAATAAACTTTGTAAATGCAATTTAGAGCATCACAAACAGATGTAGAATATTGAAAATCCATATCATATAATTATATATTCACTCCCTTTTATGTCGTTAATGTTGAGCGTTTATTTTGTTCATGTTGAGCATTTATTTTTATCTTTTAGTATTTTTTTTAAATTGAATTTGCGAATATTTCCCCTACAGTGGAAAGAGGTGGCCTCATTCAGGACTTGGTTTGTTCCAATGTTATATCTTTTGAGCCCAATTCAAAAATTGAAACAAGAAATAAAGTCAAAGTTTTATCACTTGAAAGTTCTTGGATGAGAATTGATCAAAAACTTGGTTTCGTAGTAAAGGGTTACTAAGGCCTCTCCTTCACTTTCACAACATGCTATCAGACCTAGTCTAGCAGTCCCTGAGCGATAAGACTAGTCCCTGAGCGCCTGCATCCTGTTTACAAGTTCTAGAATTTGACCTGGCTCGGCAGGGGAAGGGGGGAACTCGGAGACCCTATAACCCCTGGGAAGGGGGCTACGAAGTTGCCCTGCCCTAGAGATGGGGGGCAAGGTTCTACAGAAATCAATCTTGCAGTTTATAGAAAGGCCTACATTTAGAAGAGATAAAAGAGGTGTTGTAGTAGCCTACATGATATACCTACAAAATGTGCCAAATATCATTCCTTTTTTTTTTCCCAAGTAATTCCTACTCATTCTACCCTAATATTTTGATTTAAATGTTATAATCTCAATTCACATGTTTGTAAAATATTTTTTTGAATAGCAAACTGTGCCAACCGCATAAAAATGGCAAAATTTTATGTGGTTTAAATCTAAAATTTTATATTTGAAAAGGAATAAAGTGTTGAATAACTTTTTAAGCGGATGGATTTAAATACAGAGCTTTATAAAATAGCTAGGTCATTTGTGGTTCAAACTGAAAAAAGAGCAAGCAAATTTTGTCCTAGCTTAAAGGACACAGGAAGATCAAAGACAACAAGTGACCTACAAATCAATGAACTGTAACTTAAAGAAAAATAAGATTTCAGAAGCCAGCTTGAAAGTCATCCTTGACACTTGTTGTAGTGTCCAAGTCCAAACACAATTCTGTTTGTAAACATTACAGTTGAATGCGTATTGATTGGCTTCTCTTTACACAAATTAATCTAATTACTAGCCAAGGTTGTGTGCACTTTGTGTGGGTCCCTGTTAAAGGGGAAGTCCACCCTGATAAAAAAGAAAGTCCACCCTGATAAAAAGGAAGTCCACCCTGATAAATGAAAAGAAAATCTTGGCAACACAGACTTCTTGATTGAGTCTTTTCCCATTTGAGATTAAGAATCGGCCAACAACGAACAACAGAGAAAGAAGAAATACGACCAACTGTGTTGAACATTGAACATTTCAAATTCCAAATTTCATATATAGATTGGTGCTAACTGCAAAACAAGAACCTTTTGAGCATTGTTGAAAAAATGTAAGGGACTACAAATTTACAACATGAAACATTCACAATGCACAAAGTTTAATATTGCATCAATAAAATTTGTGAATGAATTTAGGGGGGGGGGGGGTGTGGCAAGAGATTGTCATTATTATTGTCATTAGGATAGATACAGACAGGTTGAAGATATATGGGAGGGGGGTATCGTGTGGAGAAGGAGGGGGTATACTTGGGATTATTAAAGAAAAAGCGACACATAGATCCAGGCGCGGATCCACGGGCCCAATTCTATCGGCCCGGCTATGGCAAGCCCATTGTGTAAAAACTAGATATACTCAGTTTATCAGAAAAACTGTGTTTATCAATGATAAACTCAGTTTATCAACTGATAAACTGAGTTTTTCTGATAAACTGAGTTTATCAACTGATAAACTCTGTTTATCTGATAAACTCTGTTTATCTGTTGATAAACTGAGTTTATCATTGATACACTGAGTTTTTCTTGATAAATTGAGTTTATCAACTGATAAACTGAGTTTATCAACTGATAAACTGAGTTTTTCTGATAAACTGTGTTTATCTGTTGATAAACTGAGTTTATCTGAGAAAAACAGAGTTTATCTGAGAAAAACAGAGTTTATCTGAGAAAAATAGAGTTTATCTAGTTTTTACACAAAGGGCTTGCCATAGCCGGGCCGAAAGAATTGAGCCCGTGGATCCGCGCCTGCATAGATCTAAGGGTCATGATCATGGCAATTGATATACACCAATGCTAAGCCTTTAAAGACAGTGGGAGCAATGGATAAATTGCGTCATTAAAACAATGCACACAATTTTCATGCGATTCTGTTTAATTTGTTTTATTTATTTTCATTATATTCATTTTTTTAAGCTAAATGCATGTTAGTTATAAGCAGGGGGTGATCCGTGATAAACCTGTGTTTTTTGATCTGCCTACCCCTTTGCAGGTTCATCTTTGTTTTAATGCTTTGATATTTGATTGTAATTTATATTGCCTTTTTATGAACCTGTGGAATAAATGAAATTGAAAATTGAAATTAAAATTGAATTTATAATGACCTATAATGCTCCAATTTTGTGTTATTTTGCTGTTAACTACAGGGTTTATAAAAAGGGTAATAGATCCTATGAGGTAATGTAACTGTGTCCTTTACTATGTCTGTAAGGTACCTCATAAGCTGGCAATCATAAACATCCACTGATCCCTATCCTAGAGACCTAGACACATGACTCATCGAACCTTGCAAGATCAACTAGTTCCCATTTTTACACCACATGCAATGTGTTCATGTGCGATACATTACGTTCAAGCTCACGTTTTAAGGGCAAGATCAGCTAGTTCCCTTTCTTACACCACATGCAATGTGTTCATGTGCGATACATTACGTTCAAGCTCACGTTTTAAAGGTGGTGTGTCTCTTTTGCAGGCTGAAAATACAAACTTTTGTGAACCCTATGGTGAACAAGAGATAATGGCAACTAAAAACTCCTCTGAAAAGTTTAGAACTGGTAACTGACTTTATATCGAATTATATTGAATGCTAGGAATTTTCGCAACGCGTTTTTGAAAATTATGCATAGAAAATAGCCAGATTTTCAAATCCTTGTACTAGCTGTATGGTCGTACGTTTTGTTCAATCAGCATAATTTCGGCCATATTATAAGAAGTGGGTTATTGATGTGTACAAATGCTTATGTTTACTTTACAGCTATTTTATGTATATTATTACCAAAAAAACAGAAGCAAATTAGTCACTCAATAGTGTCTGACAGTGAAGTCTAACGGGTTTCCTTGCATAATTTGAATACTAGGACACCGCTAACGTCTAAAATTCACAAATAGGACATACATGTACGTGACATATTCATAATTCCTGCAAAGTTCTACAGAACTTGACGTTGGCTGCAAAAGGAATACACTACCTTTAAGGGCACTTCATATCAGTTGTGACGCAGTGAATGTTCCTCGGGCTAGCATGAGGTGATATTTGAAGTGGGTCCCTAATTAGACATGATTTAATCACATCTAATCATATCAGTGGAGGGTCGAATGACTTCCCAACAGCTGCAGTTACAAACGGAATAGAGAGGGCTTGGCACGGTAGCTATATTTAGGGAACTGAAAGTGTTGGAATCTAATTTAACCCAACTTATAATTAGATAATAGCACACCCCGTTCTTTATAGGACTCTGTGCATGTTGGTGGTCGTCAGCTCTACAGCATGTTGCAGCAATAGATATTCAAAATGATTTAAAGCTACTTTTATTGCTCAATGTGATTGCCATTGAGCATGGATTAAATTAATTTTTTTAAATACAAAATAAGTATACTTTCTAGCCGCCTCCATAGTTTATTATATCTAGCACATACTGATTGAAATGCAGCCCTATTTTATACAGTAAAAACTTAAACCGATTGTTCCATGATGATATGCTTTTGAATTTCGCCTTTTCCTTTGTGATATTCGGCCGAGACACAAACCAAAGTAAAGTCATTATTAATTGATTTTTGCTTGCCCTCTCCTTCAGTCTCTTTCACTGAATATATTCCATTATTACTCTTAAGGCTGGTTCATATATGATGGCAGGTTGTTTTATAGCGTATGTGTAAAATGTATGCAGGCAAATGCATGCATCAAAGGTCCTACGTGTTCTCACTGAGCTCTGCGATATAAGGTACAGAAACGTGAAGTGTTTTACAATTACGCCGTTGTGAAAATAACCATCGTGTTTTACCACGACACATCAGAGCGAGGCTTTACAACGAAACATTGATGCTATTTATTAAAACAATAATCATAACTTACCTCTAAACCTTGGTGGCAAGAGCTCGCGACCTTTCTCCCAGCTCAGGTCACCGATGTCGGAAGAGAGGGGTCTGGAAGGAGGATTGCTGTTACAGCTAGACGAGACTTGGCTGCTGACATGAAAGTCCTGAAAAGGGATGACAATATCATACAAGATGGATGGATGTTGTTACTATGGCAACACTGACATGAGACTAGACTACGACTACCAACATGAAAAGATAATATATTCATATATTTCTTTATCTTTGATTGATCATACATTAATCATTCAAGGAACATTTATCTTTCCATGCTATATATTTCCAAATATTCAGATCAGAAAATAATGTAACCCCAGTGTTTTCCTTTTATCTGATAACAGCTCAATCACACCGTGAAGGTGACTCAAGACCGACCCCAAACCGACAGATTCTTCTCCATTCCCAGGGTTTTGTTTGGTCCATTGTCAGGCTAGTGTCAGTCTCATCGGTGTGACTGAAGGATTAGTGATGTAATTTCTTTTTAAAATTTTACTCTGTTATTTGTACACACCATTCTGTGTGTGTGTGTGATTCCTGAATGATCGTAACATTCAGGCAATATTCCAGCAAAGATTTACAGACAGTGTCTCAGATTTTCTGTGATGGTTTATAAACCAGTCTGTACTCAAGAAAACGATAAGGTAAGAATTCTTTGTAGATTTTTTTTGTGTGATTTCAGTTTATGAAAGATATATGGAATGCTTCTAATATTTGAAGCATAGCTGTTTCTATACTAGCTCTCGGGGAGCAGGATGTAACGTCCCCTCGAGCCTATAGAAACAGCGATGCCTCTCATAGCAGTCATTATATCTATACTATATTTCAAATGTGATATGGGACAGACAGTGCCAGACACGCTGTTGCCTTCTTGCACAAGTGATTCATATCAATTAGTCATAGACATGACATATGAAATAAATCCAGTGTACATCAACACTCACACAAATCATCAAAACAAAACTAACTTGTAAACAAGGGATTTAGTTGCTTAATCCATGGCAGATTGAATTAGTCTTGTACACTAGGAAAACGTGTACATTTTATGAGCATGTATCCACTGCCATTAAAGGATTCCTCAAACACTTTGAACATTATCAGGACCTCCATGAAATCGTCAACATGTTAAAAATGTTCAAAGATATTTGAAGAAAAAAAATTGATTTAGTTGAAAGCACTAGATTCACCATCACTTTGAAACAAAGTAATAATCAAAATAAAATAGCATAACTTATGTTGATTTATTTTCTGAAATTAGAAATAAATTCTTTATGGCAAGATAGTCCTCAGCAGCCATTCATAATACATAATAGCAATAAATGGGTAAATTTCTTTGGTCCAAAGTCTGTATTTTTTCTCACATGGGACTAGATCTTTCACTGGGACTGGAAATGAGACTAGGAGATATTTATCTTTCTAGCAGCCTTATGTCAGGATGACTGTGAAAAATAACAAGTATTGGAAAACAAGTTCTATTTTGTAAATTTTGTTACTTCTAAAATATATCCAACCTTATTTTAACCCATTTCCTATACGGCAACCAGTTGGCTTCTTTACTGGAGCCTTTAAGATTATTAAGAATTCAAAAGTGAAAGGGTTTAAAGCCCCTTATCTTGACATCTTAGAAGTTAGAATGTATTATCTTTCTCACCTCTAGTAACGAGTCTGCACTTGACTTGGAATGCCTTTGATCCTTGCCCAGCCCACTATCAGTACTGCTACCTGGTGCGTTATGGTTTTGTTCTAGCATTGGGTTAGAGTCTGGAAGAAGAGGCTTTTTCCGTTGCCTTTCGACCGGTCCATCGGATTCACACCGTCTGTAAACGGGAGATGGTGACTTGTGGCTCTCTTCGTAACCCTCTGTACACGTAGATGCTTCAAGGTTTGGCCACGTCTTTCTTGATTCAGAGTCGTGTCTTAGAGATGCCGATCTCTTGAATGCTGTTCCAGGCTCGTTCTCTGGATTGTCTAGGTTTGGTCTCAAGATTTGGATCTCTATTTTACCTGCACTACTCCTCTGAGGTGATCCCCTGGTTAGTTTGGAGTTACTGAAACGCAACTTGATCCGAGAGATGACTTCACGAGGCGACACAGACTTGGACTCTTTGCTGTTCTCGACAATTGTCTTTTGTTCGGGGGATGATTTCTTACTGGAAACAACAGGACTTACGCTTTCGTCGGATTGTCTACGCCTTGGTGTCTCATGAGATGACTTCTTTTGCTTGGCTTCAACGGGACTTTTACCTCTCTTAGAGGATATTGGGCTGTACACGTCATTTCCTTGAGAATGTCTTGTTTGGGGAACTTGTAGAGAGATAGGGGACTGAGGTGAACTTGATAAGTTGTGCTTATCCTCACCATCGACTAGGATCTCACCATTGTTTTCTAGGAGAGAGAAGCTATGGTTGGCACCGACGCCAGGTGATGAAGGAGACGTGGAAGATCCGGACTTGGATAGATCCATTAATTCCCGATTGAGCTGATTCAGCTGAGCAATCAGATGAAAATCAAGGTCCACATCCAACGGTCTCATGCACACTTCCTTCATCTCAAGCCGGCCCTCGTTCATGGCAAGGGCCAGGCTCTTCTTGCGCTGCCTGTAACCGTTCATCTGGTGATCCTCGTTCTCTCCACTGGCCGCCTGAGACCCAGAGTGTCGCCTCCCGGAGGGATCAAGCCTCGACACATACTCCCTGGCCTGTGGGGAGAGCGATCTACGATTATTGTTAGTAGTTCTTGCATGCTTCTCTGTCCTTCCGCTGGATCCGCTCTGAGAGTCTACAAACACTTCCCTGTTCCTTGAGGGACCGTTGGACACACTACGCACAAATCTAGGAGGACTGTTTCCCGATTGCCCTAATGTTGTATCACCTTCTGGATCTCTGGAAACATCCTCTGTAGCATCCAAATTGGTAACAGATTCATTGATAGGCTCCTCCATAATGCTGTCTTGAGGCATCTTACAATCTTGATCACCACAAGAAACTTCCTTGCTGTCATCAAAGATATCCACAACGATGAGTTCCGGTTTCATCGGCTTCGCAGTCCCATTCCTTCGGTGGTCACTCCCACCTTGTTCGTCTTGGAGGGATTCGAGTTTCTGCCTCAGTTGTTGAGGCTGAAGGACCCAGGGGTTGAAGTACGATGTCGGAGGTGAGACTCTGCGCTTGAACGGAGGTTTACTGCGAATGTTCTTCTTGACCAAGAACTCCCCGGTCAGGAGCTGCGGATGCTTGGTGTCCAACGATCTTAGATGGTGGTCCTCATCAGGGTCAAGCTGAGGCTCCTCACTGCACAGTCCACTTGTGGCCTGAAAGAACAACATCAAAAAGAAGAAAACAAATGACATTAGTATAAGAATCAAGTAAGAGAAATAAAAATACAAAAGATATTTCAAATGATTGTGGATTTTAGATTTCTTTGTAGATGCAGCAATAGAACTTAAACATATAATTATCACGAAGATAGAAAATATATTCACATACATATCATTGAACAGTTAAAGACTCTAAGAACTTGAAATACAAATGACATGTACTTGCAGCGCTACAAACAAACTGAACAGTACAGAACTTGATCAGACACAGCTAGAATAAACCCAATTAGCATGCACTAACAACAATAAGCAATTCTAACAGTATGTATTTGAAGGAGTGCCACATTCCGCGTTATAATGCAATTCCCCTGACGTGAGAAGAAATTGTCTTTGCCAGCTAAACGGTTGACAGAAGAATGCAGAGATCGGGCAATGAACCGATACGGTGTGATCGACAACAACTTTTCTCTGTATCTAAAGAGGCATTTAGTATTGCATTCCTTTCAATGTTAAACCCTCGATTAAATGACTGTAAAGAACAATTCAAAAGCACAAAGTTGATCGCTATGCCAACAGTGACGGAATCTACCCATTTTCGGGGGCGGCATGCAGGCCAAGAACGATAGCTATCACATTTGTTTTTTTCCTGGCTCAAAAACCTAAGATAAGATCGGAACGAGCTGGGCCACATATGGAAAGGGTGTCAAGTTAATTAGGAGTATAGTGTGAACCAATTTTAGACATCTGGTGATTGATAATATTATTGTTCACGATATCAAACAAAGTTGGTGTTTCCATATATTGTAAGAAACTAGTGCTAGATGCTTGACCTCATCTGTACTATTTCAGGAATGACAGATTATGCCATTCATCAAAATATTAAAGAAACACATCCATGGTAGATCATTCAAGATTTAAAATCTTCAACAACAACAAAATCTTCAAAATCTTTACAATAACAGTTATAATAGCTTATAACAGTTGTTTTAACTTGTTATAAAATCATTATTTGTACCTACATGTAGCTATAAATTGTATTCCAAAAAATGATATTTTTATCATTAGGGATTGTCTATTTTTGTTGTAAATTGAAGGCTGAATGCACTACACAGATACTGTAACATATGGGATACTGCGATGAACCATTTGGGAATTCATGATTGTAGAGATCGTATAGATATCCTTATCCCTTTTGTAATCTGTCAGTCCAACCAAAAAATTCTATTCCACTTATTAACAAAGAAAATATTATCTATGATGATATGATCTGTAGTCAATGTTACAGCAAACATGCGCAACATATGTTTAATGAACAGATGGTCAATCAAATTGACATGAAAAAAACATTCTTTATTTACTCTCTGTATCTTTGTTCTCATCATTCATCAAAAATATAAATGTTTCATTTGAAAAAATCAGTGCCCTCCCCTATACAAATTTAAGTTCGTCGCGAACTCGTATTATGCTCGTGGTAAGCTTAATAAGATCGTTTTTTAGGCTTTAAGCTCGTAACACGCTTCCAGGACGCTAGTAACGATCTTACAAAATCTTCACGAGCTCGTGGCGAACTCGCGGGTAAACTGGGCAGCTCGTGGCGAGCTCGTGGGTAAAAGGGGGAGCTCGTGGCGAGCTCGTGACGAGCTCGTTGGTAAAAGGGGGAGCTCGTGGCGAGTTCGTGGGTAAAAGAAGGAGCTCGTGGCGAGCTCGTGGCGAGCTCGTTGACGAACTCGCCGACGAACTCGTTGACGAACTCGCCAACGAGCTTATCGGCCAGTGACGAGCGTGTATATTTCGAGCACGCCAACGAGCTCGCCAACGAGCACGCCAACGAGTTCGTAGCTAATTTGCATATTTGGAACGAAACGAGCTCGCTGGCGAGTTCGTCTGCTTGCTCGTCAACGAACTCGTTGGCGAGCACGCTGACGAGCTCGCGTGTAAGCGTACTGAAATTTGTATAGGGGCTGATTCATATAACTTCTTATCAATAACAAATGCTACATTTCTATGATAAATTTGCTCTCAGCCAATCAAATGCCATGTTTTCAGTAGCTTATAAAAGTTATTGTAACTTGTTTATTGATAACAAGTTTTATGAAACAGGCCCAGGCCTAGATCTCCCACGATAAAACTTTAAATGATTTACAACAGTACAAAAAGGCATATTCTGTTTTGTAAAGTGGATGTAACATAATTATAACAGCGATCTGACTACACTTTACATGAATTGCCACTGTCTCTTTTTGGATTCATGTATATCAAGCCTCAGAATCTACTACAGTGGCCTCATTAAAGTTATACATGCAAGAGAAAGAGGGAATAAGGGGATCTAGATTCAAGAATTTAACAAATTTCAATATCAAAAGCCTGTTGTATTGTTCTCTCCACACCATCCCCACCCCATCCCCTCCCTCTCCCCTCTTTCTCTCTCCCCCTCCCTCTCTGTCTCTCTCTCTCTCTAGAGCTCTCACTAACATTCAGTTATTAGGAAAATCTAGAACTGTGTAGAACGATAGACATAGCAGAATCAAACAAGATAGACATGTTTCAACTGAACAACATGATCAAACAAAAGTACTAATTTAAGTCTAGCCTATGTTACCAAGCCTGCGTGACAACATACAGTAGGAAACATACCTTAATTAATGAACCAAGATACGATATCAACTAAGGTACTTCACCGATCACATGGAAACACTCGAAATGATAATTCCAGATCACTGATATCTGCGATATGTGCTTGTGATGAGAGCCCGACGACTACTGTACAACTGTACTGCAGATAACACAGGGTATATAGTCCAATCAAGTCGCTCTATAAACACGACAATCTTGTTGTTGTTGAATGGACAGATATCCTAATCGAATTACCCCTATGCCCCAATTCTCTTTGGCATGAAGCTAGTCAAAGAGCTTCCTTCCTATACGATTACGCAAGAGTTCGACAGACATTTGCGATACACCGCGCTTGATCTGCAGCAGAAAATCTTCTAGAATACGTAGAAATCAATGTTTTGGTCATGTCAGCAAACCAAGGATGGAGTAAATTCAAGAATGCAAGCAAGATATATTATATCACGCTGTGTGGTATGAAGAGATGAGAAAAGAGAGAGCTGCAGTGGGTAGGGTTGAAGGAACAGATCGTATTTCAAAAGTACATGACCTGAATAAACAAACAAGGGACATTCTCATGGTGAATGTGAACCAAAGAATGTAAGTTTTATCAACATGGTATCACCATGACAACTGGTAACACCTTTATTCCTCAACACAGCAGAACACCTGGTAGTGCAGAATCATGTGCACTAAATACAAGTTTGCATCACAATTCACACTGTACAGTATTTGGCCTACAACATAATACCCTCATTCTGTTTTTATTTCATTTGCACAAAAATCAATTATAATTAAGCCGTTGTGTTTAATTATTTTGTACCTAGACTAATTAGGAATATATTGATAGATCAATAGGCATAACTGAACATTTATTCATACATGTTGCATGACTGCACTATAGATTGGCCTAGTACTGCACCATGTAAAATCAAGGTTCGTTCAGATATGCCTAGGTAAACCACTGTATATTTTTTTTTTAATGATGACGAAAAGTGTAATATGCTTCAGATTTCTGTTTCTTATAACTCAGAGCTCATTGGTTATGCATTGATCTATTGTTGCGCAATGATGCAATTCATTTAGGCATTAAAACATGAGTGGATTTTTCTTTAAATATTTTTTGATGGCGATCTCCCAAGTCATATCTGAACGAGCCTTTAGAATGCGCCATGAAATGGTAGAACTGTCAAAGCACTTCAGTTAATCTGCAGACACAAACAAGCTTATCATTGCCTCTTACCAAATATGTATTTCCAGGATGTATCAATTCAATGGCACAATACAAAAAAGTCAGAATAGAATATATCCAATAGAGGCAGTTGAAGCAGAATTCGCAAGAAAACTCTTGCTACCTAGCTCTTCCAGTCACAAACTGACGACACAACTGACATTTCTCTGTCCGTCCTACAGAAATACCTGGTTCATAGGGACAAAGTTCTTCAAATAGACCTGACTCCTGCCGGCACACACCCTTATCAAAAGGCACACATTGGCGATGATAAGTGATATAACCCCTCTACACAAACACTGCCCACGGACATGTCATGAAAGGTAAATACAGAGTGACTTCAGGCAATCACAAAACGTGTATTTATTTATACCTATAATTGAACAATCGTCCCATATTTTATTGGTGCAAACACACAGAGTCAGCCCGGCATCAAAGATATGTTTGCACTTTATAAAGTGATGGACAATCATTGTGTTATGGACAACCAATGTGCATCCATCCAAGGGACTGTCTCTGTAGCCAAGTGTCAGTGTTAGGAAAGTGTATTTTCACTGAAAACTTGAAAATTGATGGCAAGTCAGGTAATCAATGAAAACAAAATCAACCACAATACTTTCAACTGAAGGATACTATAGCTATTTTCTGCTTTATTCTTCATTCCTAAAAATATATTCAGTATTCATGAAAATACTTGGTCTGCCCAAAAAACAAAATTTCATTAGTTGATCTATAACTCCATAATTAAGGGTTTTAAATTTACACTTTTTTGTTATTACCCCAATACACTTTCAACCATCTGTAGACAGGGACATTTGAAATAGGCACAATCCAATGATTCCATTAAAACAAACAAATTTGGGAGATGCTATAAAATATTCAATAATTCATGAAGCATGGTAGCTTCAAAAGAATCAAAACAATCCACAAACAGCTTCCTCGACAATAACCTGTTTGTGATATACCTTTATGCTTCCCTCCGTGTAACATCCACATATCTTGATTCCACAGGTTTTGAGAGTACTATACATTGAGAACCGATGGCCTGCCACAAACACTGAACTAGCCACAGATCTTTCTGATTTAATCCAATTATAATATGTCCGTCTCCTGATCAGCGTTAGACATGGCTATCAGCACTTCATCAACGACGGAGGTATAAAGACAGGAATCCATCGCACCTTGGACTTGATTGAATTCAGCTCTTTTAGTTTTACCCCCTCAAATATTAACCTGATTGCGAGCAGACAGGCACGAGCGTGTACGACCCACCTAGTCTTACATCTCAACCCAAACACACACATTCAACTCTATTTTAAAGGTATACTCTATTCCTAATGCTATTCAACCTGTGTTTATGTGGTTAGTTATCATTGAAATATATTTTTATGGGTTTAAAAGGATACATATAATCAGTATTAAAAAATAAAAAATTTAAACAAAATTATAAATCCCTGCTCATTGTCAAATTGGCATCAGAACAATTTTTTTACAGTATTAAAGGGATAAAGCTTCTTTCCAGTTCTCATCAATTAACTTCTTTATACTTTTCATGAAACAAATTAAGGTTTGTATTGAAATATGCCTACAGACCCAGGCCCAGTCTTATGAAGACTTGCGATTGGTCCAAAATTTCAAATCAATCGCAAGTCCTCCAATCAATCGCAAGTTTGCAGTCTCCTATATCTTTTGTACATACCGGTAGTTGCGATTGATATAAACTCTTTGTGAGACAGGGCCCCTGGTGTACAGAATCATTTGTAATTTCTTCATTCAAGCCAACTTACTATCCTCCATCCAACCCCCACCCCCCCCCCCCCCCCCCTCCCCCCAAAAATACATAACCATTGTATGGTGTTTATCAGGTCTTTTTAATAAGACTAGATATAATTTCCCCCTGATAGAACAGTAGCAAACACACTCTCCCTGGATGGCAGAGGAAGGTGATTCAGGCTTTCTTAATCAGGTGTAATTAACCCACTAACGATCCTGGCTAACCTGCATATGTAGGTGCAAAATATGATAATATTTTCTACTACTACTACCATCATTATTTTTATAAGTAGCAACAGCAGCAGCAGCAGTAGTAGTATCAATATCATTGTTATTATAACTATTATTACGACTTCTAGTACTACTACACTACTACTTGTATTACTATTTTATTATTATCACATTATTGTTATTATGATCATTATCACGACTATTAATATTTGTATTAGTAGTGTCATTAGTAGAAGTAGTAGTATCATTATTATTACAGCTATAATTTTCATTATTATCAATATTATCATTATCATTATTATCATTAATATCATTATTATTATTATTATCATTATTATTATTATTACTCTCACAACTATTATTATTACTATCACGACTATTATTATTATTATTATTACTATTTTTATTATCATTATTTTTATTACTACTACTACTATCATTATCATTATTATTATGTGTGCAAGTTTCTAGATTTACAGTAGTCCATGGGCCTCCATACATACATGCATATCTCCACAATGAGCATCTAAGCAGACAGAGCATACACATTCTAACACGTAGCTGATAATTATGAGCAGATCACAGAGAGCATTCATACGAACCCACCTGACATGTGCCCATCTAATTGAGTAAGGAAGGAAGAGATAGCAGGATACAATTCATTACCAAACTATTTCAGCGATGGAATTACGGCTTGCAATCCTCGCTGTCTACCGTAGCATCAGGTCCTTTAAATCCTCAGGAAGCAGTGCATGTGCAACACGGATACAGTATGTATACAGGGCTTTACCATGTGCCAAGTTTTCCAGAGTCGCAACTGCTGTTGCCCCCATACTAGGCCTCATAAGGCCCTCAAATTTCTTTCTTGCAGATATGTTTTTTTTTTGTTAACAAACTTCAACACCTCAAAGAGAGGAAAACAAATGGGATTTAGCCAAGTGGCTGTTATTCATGCAAGTCACATTTCCGCTTGAAAGGGGGTTTCCCCCTCGAAATAAACCACATCATTCCTTTGCATGTTAATTAATATGTTTAAATATTTTAAATTCACAAGTCACACATTGCAAGACAGTGATCAGAGATAATGAGTCACATTACTAAGCTCTTGAAGTATACTGACCTTGTATGAGTGAGTATGGGTATCAAAATCCTGTACTGCAAAAGCAGGCAATATGTGAATTTAGACAAAATGAAGTTCCTGCACAATTAAGGCCCATTTACACACCCCAAGCACCATTTTGAACTGGAAAAACCCATTAAAAAATGGCACTGTACGCTTATTCCAATTTTTGTGAGTAGTGCACAAGCACGACTTGTCGCTGCTCTGCAAGAGAACCCACAGAAGCAAGGAGAGTCCAGTGACAACAAAACAATACTTATTTTCTGATGTTTGGAGAGAGAGCTAGGGCATTTACCTGCATGACATCAACTCAAGACATCTATCCCTATTAATCCCAGATCAGATCAGATCATCCCCTTAATAATGATCTGTTTCATGCATATTTCATGGTTCTAAAGAAGGTTATGTTGTTAAGCCTACGCAAAGATCCTTGGTATATGTGATAAATGGCCCCTTGATGAATTTAAAGGCAAGGTTTTCTTCTGACACTATATAGTTAGATTTATGCACACTGACATCTCCTGCTCACAATGTCCCAGCATCCTCCACAGTTGCTGCACCAGGGAGGAGCTAATAAATGTATTCCACATTAGGCCCGTCTTCATCAGCTCAAGTTTGCCAAATAACCCGCTATTTTAACTATCCCGATCTCAAATTATCCAGCTAATTGGCGTCTTCATCAGCCCGCAGTTGCAATTAGCGGGATATTTGGTCGAGAAATTATCCCAAGAAATCTTGGTCCTGTTTCCTAAATGTTCCGCTATTTTGGAAGTAGCGGGCTAATTTGCGCCCGTCCGAGCTAGCTTGTGATGAGCATATTTGTCTAGTGAAGACGAAATTTCGAGCTTCGGGATAACATCCCGAATCTGAAAATAGGTTGTTTGGCAAACTCGAGCTGATGAGGACAGGCCTATTGTCACATTCATATTCACTCAAACCAGAGAAAAAACATCAAGTCTGGAAGCCAGACTGCATGCAGGGAACAAGAAAATCTCACACTTTTTAAAAATAACATTATATCTATCATTGCTTAATCATTCATTACTCATGACGGATTTTCTGCAAGCTCATTTAAATTGAGTTAATTCATTTAAGTCACAGTAACTCTCATGTGCAAGTGGCAAGCAATAAATAAAGATGACTAAATCTAACATGGTCCTTACTTAGTCACAACCGCAAAGAAATGAATTAAAACATATGGACAATCATTAGATTTAAAGATCATGACTGTTAATAAACAACTGTTCTTCATTTGTGCCTATTGTAGACAAATCTTCCTGTGATTTGGAGATTTAATACAGAGGATTCAAAGGAAATTTCATAATTGTCACAACATGTTGTTAGAATGTACAGGTAGAAATTGTAATTCTGCAGCCCCCCCCCCCCCCCCCCCGCCCTTTCTTTCTCTCTCTCTCTCTCTCTCTCTCAATCAGTATTTTCAGCCTATTAGATGGGAGAAGATAGGGGTTGAACATATTCCCTTTGAACTGCCTTATATTTCATACAAGAGAGTACACATACAAAAGTAGTGCATACAAACATTTTTAGAGATCTGGGTCCAGTTTAAACACCCCTTTCCGACTATGATCTGAACCCCCCCACCCTGGCTGCCCGTCACACTACTGATGGAAGGGCAATTCAAGTGGTTATACTCCTCCCAGTAAGTACACACATTATACAAACATCATGTTTGATTTTCATGTGCTGGACAACCCTTGGTAACAGATACTCTCTAAGAAAAAATCGAGTTATCACGGACGTCACTCCTCTGGAGAGTGAAAATATAGTGAAAATAGAGTGAACGTTCACTCTTTTCTTCTTAGAGAGCACTCTAAAATCAATCGATTTTCACTCCTAAACAAGTGATCACGGACGTCACTCCCAAGAAAGTGAAAATCGAGTGAAAATTCACTCTTTTTTTAAGAGAGTAGCTACATGTATGTCACTTTGGTCTGCTTATAGAAGTGGTCATTTTGACCGATCAGAGCCAGAAGGGCATTAACCCTGTGTTAAAGTAAAGGAGTTACACCCTTCTGGCTCCTAACAGATGATTTCTGTTACTGATATTTTTTTAATAGCTACCGGTTTGTTGAATTATTTACCTTCCTAAATTTATCTCTTAACAATTAGCAAATCTGATTAGTCTCTGGTAATTTGAACTTTTAAAGCTTATCTGCCGTAGTTTACAGGAGGGATTAAACCGCTCTACAAGGTCGCTGGACAGGTGGTTATCTCATCAACTCAGCTCTCAGTTAACATAAGAAAAAGAGGATCATGGGGGACCAATGGTCACCGATTAGGCATTGTTTGTTATATACAGGGCGCAAGTAGCTACCAGTAGTGCAGTGGGCCTTTAAGTCCAATAAACCAGTGCCATATACCCCCTTTACTTGACCCATGACTAAATAGATGAATTTCACGAGAACAAAAGGCTTTCCACTTTGCTCAAGATACATTTTCTTACATCCACACGCCCCCTTTATTACTTGATATGAAAATACATTATTAGAGCACTTTGATCTACTTTCGCTGTCCGACATCACAATATCTTTGTCTAATCTGCCTTATTTTGACACTCCTTTGATTACAAATCTTTGAAAACTGGAACTATTGGACTCTTGATGACCTTGACTGTGTCTCTATTGTTCCTATAGTCTGTAATCCAGACAGTCAGACTTTTTCCACTAACATTTATATTCATATACAGTAAAATGAGAAAGAAGAAATTTTCACAAAATGTTATAACATTTTTTAAATGATACTACTTTTGAGGCAAGAAACTTTGGTGATTCAAAGAAACTCAGAGTGGCATTGAACTCGCGATTCTTAAATATTACAAAAAATTCACCAAAATTTCTATTGTGCAAAAGTTTTGAATTTTACGAGGACTGCATTTTACCCAAGCCTGATTATTTTCAATAAGCATTAGCTTTGTGGGTCTATGAAAGAGACTAGTCACAGTAGGATTGAAAAGATATCTACAGACAAATTCCGACTTCAATGTCCCATGACTTTGGACCAGAATAAATACAGCGTTTGGTTACTTTTTCATGAAGTAACAGTAGAAAGGATACAATTTGAAAACTAATATAGACAGACGGAACAAATTACTTGGAACTGATTCAAAAGAAAGCCAACCAGTCGGCTTCATGTGAGAAATTAATACCTTTGTATTATTAACCTCGTTCATACTATGATTAGCCT